CGAATAGACTGTCAATATCGATGTCAGATAGAATGCCAAGATATATGCCAGATAGAATGCCAGAATATATGTCAGATAAAATGTCAGAATATATGTCAGATAGTATGTCAAAATAGACGTCAAATAAATGTCTTGAAAAATATGCCAAAGAGAATGCCAGAAAGAATGCCAGAAGACATGTCCGATAGACTGCCAGAATATACTGTAGGCAGCTAGAATGTCAGAAAATATATCAGATAGAATGCCAGAAACTCTGCCAGATAGAATGCCAGAATATATTGCAGATAGATTTACCGAATATATGCCAGATAGAATGCCAGGATACATGCCAGATAGAATGCCAGAATATATTACAGATAGACTGTCATAATATATGTCCGATAGAATGCCAGAATATATGCCAGATAGATTGTTAGAAAATATGTCAGGTAGACTGCCAAATCCGATTTCAGGTAGCATGCCAGAATAGATGCCAGATAGAAGGCAAGAATATATTTCAGATAGAATGCCATGATATATGTCAGATAGAATGGCAGATAGCATGCTAGAATACATGTTAGATATAGACTGGCAGAATATATGTCAAGCAAAAGGCCAGAATAGATGTCAGATACAATGCCACAACATATGTTAGGTAGAATGTCAGAATATATGATTGAACGCGCAATGGCGGAAATTTTCACCCCAGCCACTCAGCCACTCAGCCACTCTGCCAGAGTGGCTGACGCAGCCACTCAGCCACTCAGCCACTCTGAGTGACTGAGTGGCTGAGTGGCTGAGTGGCTAAGTGGCTGCTCCAGCCACTCTGGCAGAGTGAAAGCGCGACCCCAGCTCAGTGTGTTTGCAAGCGAAGATGAACGTTATTACCCCACCCCCCCACCCCACCCAACCAAAGCCCGACCCCAGCTCAGTGCGTGTGTTTGCAAGCGAATGTGAACGTTATTACCCCACCCCACCCCACCCCACCAACTCTTGCGCGTGCACACGTGAGACTCAAGAAGGGGGGTTGTTTGCGCGTGCGCACGTGAGCCAAAAAACGCGTGCGCAGGTGAGGCCCAGACCACTTAGGTCACTTGGGATAGAGCCATCAGATTCGGTAAGACTGTAGGATGCTAGGGTCGTGGCCGCATCGCAGAAGAGGTCAGACACTCCGAAGCGTGTCATGAAAGGTTCATCGCCTGGAGGAGGAATCTAGAAAGGCGAGGGAGGAGGCTGCATCCGAAATGGGTTCAGAAGTGCGAGAAAGAATTGAAGCTCAAGAAGAAGCAGGTCTCCGAGAACTTGATGCCATAATGGAACAAATGGAAGCCGATGATGTTCCAGAAGTCCCAGCTGGAACCGTCCAGCCAAAAACCAAGTCAGCCCCTGAAACTTCAATGGAACCGTCCAATGATTTTTGGGAGTCTGATAGGGGGAAAGGGGCCTGGTGTAAAATCCACATCAAGCCCAGAAAAACGATTGTTTGCTCCTGTGGGCAATGATTGTCCTTTTGGTGCAGAAGAGATTTCGTCAAAAAGGGTCACTGAATGGAAATGTCGGGGAAAAACTTCTAAGTATTCAGATGATTGGCAATCCAACCCGTATCAAAGAATCTCATCCAAAAGTTGGGTAGGCAAAACATGGTTTTACCCAAACGCTGAAATTGACCCAAAAACGTGCTACAGTCCAAGCCGCTGTTGCCAATGCAAAGAATGACAGAAACGAATTGCTGAAGGGTGAAGAAGCTGCATTTTCAATGTTGGAGGGTTTGCCCAAGAATGTCAAAGATCCTGTTGTTGCAATGTTGTCTTCAGTTGAGCCGCAAAATCACTCAGATGCCAGTAGAAAGGCCAAAACCGGCCACCAAGTGATGTTTGAGTTTTGCTGTTCTCCTGAGTCATCATTAGGGAAAGTCCATGAAGGAAAAAGGCATTATGCACTTTAGGCTAACCAAAGAGTCCAATGACTCTTCCGATCCAGAAGAATATGAATCGTTGCAAAAGATGATAGATCAGTTTCCTGGAGCAACGTTGTGGGGCTCATTGCCTTGTGATCCTTGGCCAAAATGGCAAGCCGTAAATGTCGCAAGATATGGTAAAGAGTTTGCAGAGCGTTTGAAAAAGAAACGACAGTTGTCTAGGAAATTGTTGAAACATGTCTTGGAAACAGCTGAAAGGGTGCTGTGTCAAGGGGGCCACATAGCCTTCGAATGGCCGAAAGGGGCAAAAGGATGGCAACTTCCGGAGTTGACAGCATTCGTAAAGAAGCACGGTTTGTACATGGCCGGAATGCCATGGCTGCTTTTTCGGACTGCAGAGTTCCAAAGGAAACCCCATGTATAAGCCATGGCACATTGCAACCTCAAACTATCGCTCAGCATCAAACCTTAACCAATGCAGATGCCAACATTTGCCAAGATTTCATCACGACCATGCGAAGGGAAGTGAAACACCAAAAACAGCCTACTACCCTGAAGCAATGGCTAGGACCATCAGTGAATGTCTTTAACCTGAGCACGTTTTCTCAATGCCAGTGATTGGTGCAGATGAGTCGCAAAACCCAATGAGAAATCTCATTCAAAAGTTTGGGGGTATGACCGCAAAAACTTTGAAGAAATCACCCCATGAACCAAATCTCCAAGACAAAATTCAGTTTATGCTGGAATCCACCTTCTCTTGGACAGGAAAGATTGGCGCAACCACCCAGGTTGGAAGGAAGCCATCGACAAGGAGTTCAGCGGAATCTTGGAGAACGGTACATGAAACTTCGATGAAGTAAGTAATTTCAAGGAATGAACTTCTAAGCCGAAAAGAGCCAACACATGTGGGTAGATTGATGACAATTCTGTCAGTTAAACATTGGGAAAATAAAGAACTTCGTAAACTAAAAGCTCGAACAGTGTTCAGGGGAAATGACATCTGTGATGAAAACAATAACCTAGCGGTGCTGCAGGAAGCAAAAGTCAATCCATCCGGCTTGGCTGGAATCAATGCAAACTTGGCGTACGGTTGCTTGAAGGGGCACGCAACGACGCAAAGCGACGTTATTCGTGCGTACACCCAAGTTTCTTAAACACCAAGGTTCCAACATGGGTTGAGCTTCCAAATGAACTTGTCCCACCAGAGTTCCAAGGAATCAAAAGACCACGTGTCCGCCTTTGGAAAAGCTTATGCGGCCATCCTGAAGCAGAGTACCATTGGGATCAGAGGTTTAAGGAGATGATGCGTGAAATTGGTTCAGTTCATTGCTCCGACACGTTTCAATCAACTTACTTCATGAAGGACACTGGACTTTGTTAACTCTATATGTGGATGACATGGTGCTGAGCGGCCCAATAAACCAACATAAACCTTTCTGGGATAAGGGCAAAAAGCACATTGAGATCGAAGATCCTACACCTGTGGACCGAGTCCTTGGAAGAAATCACAAATTCATACAAACTGAACATGGAACCACAATGCAGTTTGGCATGAAGGATTTTGCTGAAGATGCGTGCAAAGCATACGAGGAGTTGAGTGGTTGCACGTTGAAAACGGCTTCCACACCATTTCTACCCGAAGGCTCACTGGTCGACAGTGACTTTGAGACACGTGGCCAGATGGCCGGAGACGCATCAAAAATACTGATGAAGATTTTCTGGAGTGTGACACTGGCTAGGCCGGATCTGATGGAAGGAAAATCAGATTTAACCCGAAGAATCACTACCTGGTCAAAAGCAGATGATCGAAGATTGGTCCGTTTGATGTCATACCTAAAAGGTACTGCGGGATATGTCTTAGAAGGTAGGACCTTTGATGATGCCAAAGCCTTGCGCCTTTGCGTATATTCCTACGCCGACCACGCCTCAGGGGTTGAAGATGTTAAGTCAACTTCTGGCATGATCCTCACGCTTGAGGGTCTTAATTCCTTTTGGCCATGATGCTTGATGCTGGGGTTCCAGACGTCAAGGAGCAACTGCGCGTAGCACATGCGAGGCTGAGATGATTAGTTTTGATTCTGGGGTTTTCGGTGAAGGACTGCCCATGCAAGAGCTGTTTGAGATTATCTTGAATAGGCCGATTGCTTTGATCTGTCAACAAGACAATGCATCAGTTATCCAAATCGTGCATGGCGGTTATAGTCCGAAACTTCGACACATGAAGAAAGTTCACAAGTTGAATCTGTCATCTGTGTATGAAGTATTCGAAGACCCAAACGTGAAGCGGCAGTATGTTGAGACAGCTGTGCAGAGTGCAGATCCATTCGCAAAAGCCTTGGAGCCGTGCAAGTGGCCAAATGCTCTCGAACTAATGTCAATCAAACCACCTTGAGATTTTCTTCCTGAAAAGCTCAAATCAACCGATCGAGCCGCCTAATTGCGAGAAGGGCCTGAGAAGGGGAGAAGAATAAACTCAAGCAAATATACCAATTATGCCAAGTAGATGTATCACCAGATGAAGGGTATGTGTCACCAACTTCAATCATGCAGAAACACCACCAATGCCTTGGTCGTGAAGCCTTTGGGCTCCTTCCTCGTAAGTGTGTTGCATGTAATTAAATACTGGTGCAATTTTACATCAAAGATGTAATTCAAGGAATCTACAGTTTGTACATGCACTGAGACATAAAAACATGTCTTTGAGCCGTCCAGTGGGTCAGGGGATCACCTTTCCATGATCCGGACTTTTCGCTCAAGTGCCCTGTGTGTGTGAATTTTTTTAAAAGCGCTCGTTTTTTGCCATTCCATCTTGCAGTGGGTGCTGAAGCCACAGTTTTACGTTTCTTACTGCATAAGGGGTGTGATCACATACTCCAAATATGACTCAGAGCAAGTCAGATCCTTGGTTGCTTAATTTTGCTCAATCCGCGATTTATTGATTGATATTTATTCGTCATTTTATATCTCTCAACCCGAGGTTTCAGGTAAATCCTATTACATCCCATAATAGTAATAGTTATTTATCCCAGTTCCACACACACACACATATATATATATAGATCCTCATATTATCCCGTTAGCTATTGCTGCATCCAAAACCGAGGTTTCAAATTCTTCCGCTTCGTGGTCACCAAAGCCCGTGGTGGCGACACCGTGAACGGCGTGAGTTTAGGGCAGCTGCTGCTGCGCCGCGAGGGCATGGAGCTGGACCTGGCGGATGCCACGGCGGAGAATCCGGATGGCCACCTGGCAACAACAAATGGGGAACTGGGGATTACATGGGGAGCCAATACCAACTGAATGGGGATTTGATGGACTTTAATTGACTTTAATGGGATTTCAATATCATTTGATGGATAAATATCATTTGATGGAGTGTAACGGGGATTCCATATCAACTAAATGGGGATTTCATGGACTTGAAGGGGATTTCTCCCACATCAACTTCTCCCATATGGTTAATTAGCTATCAAGACCAAAATAGGGGTACCCCCAATCATCCAAGTCATGGATGACCATATTTGGTATTGAAACCCAGGGTTTTGGGCTACCCCCATTTTAGGACACCATTTAATTAATAATGGTCAAAATAAAATCTATTTATCATGAGGATATGAAATGATATGAATATATTCCATAGTATCCCAGCTACTATATACACTCATTCATATTGTTGGATGCGAAGTTTCTGGGGATATTTTTTGGTATACATATTAAATTCACCAACAACTAATTAACAACCTGCTACTGTTGAGAACAGATCGTTTACAGATTTTCCGGTACTTTTTGGATAGGGGCAGTTATTATTACTATTGGAACTCATTTTCCTGAAATTTACATTCATTTTTAGGAACTCATCGTGGAAAGGATACAGTGGGATGTAACACAAGGGATTTGATTTATATAGTTTTAAGTTATACTGTAATCATTATACATTTGATATGTATAATGGGATACAATAATGATGCAACGGGATATATCAGGGGATATATGATGGGATATATTATGGGATATACTGTAACCAATGACGATCTAAGGTCAGTTCGCGGAGACCGAAGGCCCCGGCAATGCCATCGATGGCCGAACCAGTACGCGATGGCACAGCACCGTGCTGAGCCCATTGGTGATCAAGCTGCCAAAGCCAGCCACACGGCAGCAGTGGAAAAACCACTGCCATGGTCCCTGTGAATAAAACAGGTATTGCGGCATATAGTTGGACCCCCACAACCTCATTGGAAATCATCATTTCAAGGCAGTTATCATATGTATGTGTATACGTATATTTTTCTATTTATTTATTATTTTATTTATTTAGTTATTTTATTTATTTAGTTATTTTATTTATTTTATTCATTTAAATGTATTTATTTATTTATTTATTTATTTATTGATCTATTCATTTTATTTATTTATTCATTTATTTATTTATGCATTTTGTATGTATATATATATACATATTAATACATCTATATATGACTAGACCTTTAGTCCATTTTGAAACCGATTCACCATTCATTCATCAGCCGCTCATCAGAACCCTTCAAGTTTCATCGGTTTCATCCTCGAGATCTCAGGTCTTGATCGATAGCTTCAGCTTCCGCACCGGACCCAGTGATGAACAACTGGATCCCGTGGAGTGGCGCTTGGAAGCTTCCAATGATCAAAATACCTGGAAAGTTCTCCATAGCCAGGACACCATGGCTACATGGATGGCTGAAGAGGGTCATTTTTTGAACTCAAAATTGATTGATGTTGGCCATTTCTTCGAGAAAACAAATTAGTCATGGTGATGACCGATTATGATCCAATTTGCCCAAGTAATTTGTCAGGGCCAAGGATGGAAGTTTTGCTGCCAAAGATGCATGAAGCCGCTCCTGCCACAGGAAACCAGCTACCATCCCCCACGTAGACGCTGTGGTCAAGCGAGTTGGTTCGACACCAGCACCCGTGGCAGTGGAAGTTCTGGCAAGAGTAAGTTGGTCGGAGCCTCAGCTGGTGGAGAGTTATAAAGATCTGGGGTGACTGAAGCTTTTGAGGGATGTGATCACCATGATGGTGGTGGTGATGATGATGACACCAACGATGATGACGATGATGAAGATGAGGATGGATGATGGATGGATGATGGATGCCGGATGATGTCCCAGGGCAAGATGCTTCCTGGCAATAGCTCCTTACTCTGTGCACCCCACCTTGCTGAGGTGCCTTGGACATCAGGTGTGAAGATTCTGGCGGGTCACTGGCATGCCTTGACGCTGGCAGTGGATCTTCCCAACTCCAAGATGACCATCTGGGTGGATGGTGAAGTGGCCCTGGAGATCTGTGATCCCTCCTCCCCACTGCTGCGCTGCGATGGCCCACTCAGCTTGGATCCGCAGGAAGGGATGTGCCTCTTTGGGCGTAAACCCTTTTTGAAGAAGGAGCACCGGGCGGTGGGTTTCGGTTGTGGGACAGCCTGCTGAGATATTACTTGGGGCAAGTGTTTGCCGCTTGGTCCTCCAGTCTGCTTCTTTGTCTGTGGTTCTTCTCGAGTCAATTTGAAGTGGTGGGTCAAGTTACTTTCTGATGTGGAGTCCAAAAATGGAGACACTTCTAAAAAAACCAGATTTCAGGGTTATCCTGACAGAATCATCCTGGATTCCGGATTTGGTAGGTCTCCCCCTTGTTCCTAACAGGGGTTGCCGCATTGCCCATATTGCAGGAATGGAGTTGGATGCTGGGTGCGCAGATCAAGGGACTTCAGCTGCAGACCTCAAGCCCAGATCTCTTCAACACCTGGGCCCTGCAAATGCCCTTGGGGGTTTGGATTTGTCGCGCGCAAGGACAGCATTGACCGGATATTTTGTGATTACAGTGAGTAGATGTCGATTTTAACAGTGACTGGATTCTGCATATGAAGTGTTCTTGATTGAGTACTGATCAGCTGTGATATCAGACCATGAATCCTTTATGATTTTCTGTTTTTTTTCGAATGAGCAAACAGATTGTAGGATGCAACAGCCTTTCTTCAGCCCTTCAGGAACCTGCAAAGCCAATGGCTTGTTCACCCGCAACAGCGCATCCCTGGGCAGCTGCTGGCGCTGCAAGAGCAACCGCATCAAGAGTGGCTTCCGGCCGCCCAACGATGCGGACCCGCGGCATCCGGGCATCAAAATCTTCACCACCGACTCCTTTGAAGAGCTGTTGGAGAAGGCCCTGACGACGGGATGAGGGATGATGATCAGAAGCTGATTTCCGTTTCTTTTTTTTTAAAGTACTATGAAGTAATATTTCTATATACTGTAGTTGATATAAAATGATATAATTGCATGCACAAGGATCTGTACACGCCTTTGGACTCAAGAGCAGATGCCACAGTGAAGACCTTTTTCGGGGTGGGATGAAGCTATACACATTACATCTGGGATGGCACCCTTCGTGTGGCCGTTTCCATTTGCAAGATGATCTTCCAAAATCTTCCCAACCAATTCATTGGCTCTTCATACACAAATTATACAATACAATACAGGCTCTTCATGCCCACCCAAACTGTGTTAATATACTGCAACATACTGTGTTAATCTGTGTTTTATTGTATTACAGTGTCCAACCTGAAGAATTCTCTGTTCAAGGACAAATGCGTGTTCCTGGCGGTGTCAGCTGATTGGTGCGGTGCCTGCCAGCAGATGAAACCTGCCTGGTTCGCCCTGGCGAAGTTGTTGAAGAACTCCAAAGACGTGACGGTGGGGGTGATGAACATCGATGAGAATGAGGTTGACAGGCCAGGCATCACAAGGATTGACAAGGATTGACAAGGATTGACAAGGGGTTCTACCCCAGGGGGCCATTGATCCCCATTCGGTCAGTGGTTGATGATCGTTGTAAACAAAGCACTGTTTCAGTTAGGTCAGTTAGGTCGTTGTGGGACTCAAAACCATGCAACTCATGGGGCCCATGCCTTTCCTCGCACGGAGTCGCAGGCGCTACTTCCCGGAACGTCACATCCCTGTTGTGAAGTTGCTGAAGAAGTTGCCACAATCCGATGATTTCGAACAGAACGACAAGCCAGTGGTGATCTCCTATGAAGGCCACCATCACCTGCCTGGCTGGTTGGAATTTTTGAGTGAACACACCGAATTGAAGTTGCAAGAGATCTTGGATTCCAACTATGAGGCCTACGTCAAGGAGACTTGGCGAGATCCGTTTTTTGCTGAGTGTGAGTTCATTTCGTTGTTTGTGCGTGTTGGTGTTAGTTGAAGGCATTCCAAGTGTCACACATGTCGTGCACATGGCAGTCACACGACCACCCACCTCTTTGGTGCAGGAACTCCACCGACACACACTGTGAACATAAATCATGGATCTCGTAGATGATCTCATAGGTCTCGTAGGCTTCACGGCTTCATGGTTCCGATTTCCCTCTGTTGGGCCAGTCTTTCGCTTTTTGCTGCCTCCAAGGACTTCGGCATTCAGGGACTCACCACGGACCTGACGGCTGCAGCGCGAAAGGCGCTGAAGGAATACTGGGGCACCGACAGCGCCTTGGCCGGCAGCGGTGCCGGTGGCTGGCGACGCCTATGCGCCTTCCTGTGCAACTATTGCTGGGATCCCGATGCCCGGCTGCGACCGTTTCTGGTTGTTCCTGCCGTAGAAATGGGGTTCAATAGCAAACATTTTATTTGAACCCATCCTTTTTTTAACGTTTTTTGCAGTACCGGAATACTGCAGCAACCAGAGCCAGAAACTGATATATATATATATTATATAATTATATAATATAATTATATAAAATATAATATATATATATATGTATAGACTGGATTAAGCTGATTTGAAAAGCTCAGGCATGCCCCACAATTCAGGAATAACAATTCAACCAAGGGGCCCTGGTTCGACCAGTGCTTGGCGCAATGGTTGATGGCCGCAAAGAATCCCAAACCAGTCGACAATGAACTGTGACCCCTCTGTTTAGTGGTTTGTCACCATCTTGTTTTTGACCCTTGATGTTCAAGTGATGTTCAAGTGATTCCAGTCTGATATCTTATGGGACGGGTGGACGCCACGAGCTAGATGACCAGCTAGATGACCAACATATTTTTGTTCCATCTCCTGATTTTGTTGGTTCACTCCCAATTCTTGATGGTGAATTCGATGGTTTGAATCCACCATCTTGTTCAACCATCTGCGTGATGCTCATATAAATATCCATGTGCTAAACCATCCCATTTCTGACCGGACCATCTTGTAGGCCTAGTCCCCCGTTTTTGGTGATTACATCCCAAGTCTTGGTGAATTTTTAGCGCATTTTCATAGATTTTCTTTTGGTAAATCAGTTTAAATCAGTTCAAATCATCTTTAAATCAGTTGAAGTCATTTAGCAATCGAACTCCACCAAGAAACTCTTGCAACTCTTGGAAGCTGCGCTGGTTTCAGGAGCTGTCGCGAGAGGCTCCCACGGAAGCCACATTGCAAAAGAAGGTCTCAGTGTCTTCAGAGAAAGAACCAGGTTGGGAATGGTTGGATTGGAGCGGATCTGGATAAAGATGGGAGGTTTCTGAGCCCAGGTTGATGTTGAAGTGTTTGCGATATTGTTTCATGTTCTTGAGACAGGTTGAACAGCGGAATCCAAGAACAACGGATTGTTGGTAGGTATACTGAACTCAAACCAGTGGTTTCCTCTTGTGGGACTTGCAACGTGACTACTCAATTTCGGCCTCTAAACCATCACACCCACACACTGTTTATACCGTTTTTGTTGGTTACATCATGGTCGCTTTACATCCCAGGGAAAGCGCTTGCCATGTGACCGTGGTAGGCGAAGACGAGTTGTGGATTCGGCTCTTGTTGAAGCGCACCGGGGAAGAGGTCGAGAAGGCTTTGCGGAGTGGCCACCCTCGGAAACCTTTGGACTACTTGCTGAAGGAGGCGCCAGACGAAAGGGATCAGATGTAGTGACGTGCCAATAGGCAGCCAGGATGAAGAATAGGTTTGGTGGATTAATGTGGATATCAGGCGATATCAGGGTATTGGGTTTGCTTGGATTTGTCATTTTATTTTGAACCATCCCCATCGAGGTCCAAAGTTTTTTTCATCCAGTCTTGTGGAGTGCACGTTCCAGGTCTTTTTGCCGGGATCCAAGCCAGACGATTTGCAGGCGGATCGTTGGTTTGGTTGTGCTAACCGGAGAGTGTCCTTAAATTCAAATAGCTTTTATGGGTCTCAGGCTTCATTTCCGAGTGTCTTCATTTATTTTCTCTGGAGCAAGATCTGATTGCGATTTGCACAGTATGCTCCAAGAGACTCTTAGGATGCGCTGGCACGGAATGATACTTGACCCTGCAATCACACTGCATCACCTTAGATTTCTCTCCATTTCTCCCGCGATCTCTGGTTATGTATATATATATGGGTAAATTATAACGACCTCACTGCGACCTCACTGGAATCATGGTTAATCGGGAAATCATCCCCAAATGGGGTGCCATGTTTTTTTCGCCAGATGGTCCGCACTGGGATCCACGCTGAAGAGCTGCTGGCCGTGACCCGCGGCAGCTCCGGCGAGGCGCCGCGCACGGCGGCGCAGCAGTGGTCTGCGGTGGAGCAGCAGAAGGCAGCGACAAAGGGGCCATGGTCAAAACCATTATCTAATATTTAAGGGTGCAATAGTGTACTAATATGTACTAATATATTATGTCAATATATGTCAATATACTCTATTATTCCATATATATATATTTGTATATATAATATATATATATAATTATATATGTATACGTGTATATATGCACTACAATTTTTATATACTGTTAATCTAGTATTGATATGGATTGATGATATTGGGGGATGGTCACCAATCCATTTTCATAGAGATTTATATAGCCACTGTAAGGATGACCAGAACCCATGTAGCAGCACCCTTTGCGCCGAGCCTGGCGCAGTCACAAGAGTTCCGTGCGAGTTATTGTTGTTTTTCAACGGTACTGTAAATGTAAATGGTTCAGTTCCTCTTTTCTAATGAAGGGATGTGTAGTACTGTACTACAGGCACCCCGTTCTGCGCCAACTGTACATTGTCTTTCTCGTCTTGTGGCGAAATTTTCGATTTGTCCCCATAATTGGCAGGTTTCCAAACTTTGGGTGCTATATATGATATCCTGTTTGAAATATATGTACACGCTTTGCATGTCATATATATATATACACATACAGACACACATCTCTCTATCTATCTGCATATATATATATATGGTATGAAAAGGCATACTGAATATGGTGGAAGATAGACACTGCATTTTTGGTGAGCATCCATTGTTAAAACCTGGTAGGCCGCAGCACGCGCCGAGCCCATGGCCCTGCCGATGCTGCAGCGCAGCTGGGCGAAGATCAAACAGGCGCCTGGTTGAAGCATGTTGTGATCCAAGTCACCACGGGTTTCAGTGCTACAATGACTTGGATGATTTGGGGTAATCCTATTTTAGGAATCCCCCTTATCTATGTCTATATCTATAATTATCTACAGTATATCTCTATATATATATATCTCTCTCTCTCTCTCTCTCGCTCTCCATGAAAGAAACCACTATTGCAGGATTTTCCAATAGGTTTTTGATAATTACTGTTCACTTGGATAAGTGAGGAAAATTGGCTCCTGAGCCTCTGCCTTGTTTTTTTGTGGATCCCCAATCTACAAGTCCAAATCGGACTCTCGCCTTTCAGTTAGCATTGATGTGCCTTATTAGAGTTGATGGAGAATCTTGGTGACGATCCACCAGCAACTGAGTCTCCATGTCTCCAGCTGCCAGGCCATTGATAGCAAGAATGCCAAACGCATGCAGACCATTCAGGAGTTGCTGACGCGTGGGTTGGACCTGGACTTCAATGCCTTAGGCCGGGGGCGTGTGGGAAACTTCAAATCTGGCTAAGCACGTTTCGTTGGATCTGAAAACTGAGGTGGGGATAGGGAAGCGCAGATAAACCCACATTTGGGTTGTACATTGTACAGTAAACCATTCCAGGTTGTTGGTGGACCCATCCTAGAGCAACGGAAACTTTTCTTGAAAACTACGCATTTTTGTAGCATCAGCATAAGCTTCAAGAGTTGACCCCCTCAGGGCGTGAGCAAGCCTCGGTCTTGTGGCTTGCCGCAGCGAACAATGATTTAGAGGCGCCTGACGCCATGGGATTCCATGGCACTATTGTGATCATGGGAGACACAATTTTTTTTTACAACATTTTCGATTTTTGACAGTAGTTATTGTTAGCTTGCCATTCCATGATTTACTCAAGTGGTGAAATGCATTCTAGATTCTTAATTTTGCATTTTTGCTTGTATCAAAACCAAAATTCCTGGCATACCTGACTTAGCAAGTGATAAACCCCATTTTGATGGCGAAGATCCCTACAGGGTTGGCCATCCCAAAAACGGAATGGAACCCTGTAGCCCTGGAACCCTGGAAGATGGAACCCTTGCTGTTGGGTTGCAGAGCTGGGTTAAATCCTTCTTTGCAGCGGGGACAACACTGGATCTACCCACGCTACTCGCATCCACTCTCGATGATCCCGTGATAAGCCCCTGCTGAACCACACTTGATCACCGCAGTCATTTAAGGCCCGAGGGATCATTGATTCTGTGTTTTTTTCCATGTTTTAAATAAGTAACCCAATTTTGATCCATTCCCATATCAACACCCAACAGGGTTTAGCTCAAAGGCAGGGTACCAATGGACCGACAAGTCTAGTTTTCTAGTATTTAGTCGTACCAAATCGAGATCAATAATTTGATCCATATCCGAATCACCAAAAAGGGTTTGCCTGCGAAAAGGGCAGCCCATTCTATCCATTGGTTTATCATCACTTTCCCACGAACATTGCCATCAATTTGGGTATCACACATTCGTTTGACACACCCTTAACTTCAGTAAATTCCATGTATCATTGTCAATGAAGTTCCATTGCAGGTTCTAAATCCCCATACCCATGGTTTGGTTCCAAGAATCCCCGAACAAAATGCTTAAAAAACCAACCATTTTGCCATATTCCCAGGAAATCATCGGACAAATCCACCGGTTTTGGTCCTGTCAGGTGCTGCAGTTCTGCCTGGCCTACGGTGCCGATCCGCACCGCGACACCGAAGGCGTGCTGCCAACCGAAGCGGCAGCGGCGACCGGGGCCTTGCAGGCGCTGGCCATGCTGCTGCGCATCGGCGCGGTGCCAGGCCATGGTGGGATTTTGATCCAATTTTTTTGAGACTGTACTTAGTATACTTTAATTGCGGTTGATTGGCAGCTTAACTGACGGTTTTGGAGCATTTTATTTTGTCAGTCAGCCCCATATATCCCAAATAGGTTTTGCGATTTGGTTGACAAAATATGCACAAGTTTGAGATAGCCGCCCCTATCTGTTTTGTTGCCAGTGGCAAGTTTGTGCCTCGAGTTGTTTTTTTTGTGCAAGGCCGGGCCTTGCATTTCGCAGCTGCCACGTCTCAAGTCGGGGCCTTGCGGGTCCTGATCAACTCCAAGGCAGATCTGCGAGTGCGCGTCAATGGTACCTTGGCTGTTAATCATGTCACGGGGAGTGCCAATTCATCAAACAACAGTAGGTTTCCTGGTGGAGTTCCCATGCCGCAAGACATGGCTGTTCCAAGGTTTGACACCTTTGGCAGTTGCTGTGTGCAGAGACAATGACGAGGTGATCAAATTGCTTCTGCAACAGTGATGCGTCCGCGCTAGCGCTGGGATTCAAGACTGCCTTAACCTACCAAGATGATCCAAAGATGTTTGTGTTGCAGTTGCATTGCAGACATGAGACTGTCAGAGTTGTAAATCTGGGTTTGGAACCCCTGAACAATCCCAAACACATCCATTTATTGAATTTATTCGCATTTTGTTGCATTTTTGTTTCTTTTTTCCATTTGGAACACACAAAAACCACTTCTTCCCAGATACCACACCAAGGTCAACAACGGAGCCCTCTCTGGGCAGTGCAGCCTGCGAGGCCTTGGGCCTGGCAGCAGGCAGCAACCTGCTGTACCTGGCAGCACAGTGTGGCTTAGATCGTACCTGTGACCTGTTGATTCAGAGACTTGGAGGAGTTGGAGAAACACGATGTTTCATCATGTTTATTTTTTTTGGCATCGGCCTTTTTGAGATTTTTGAGTCTGTTTGACGCGGCGAGCAAATGAATTCTAGAATGGCGGACTAAGAGTGATAGTCCCGCTGGATGTTCTGGCCAAATTCTTGTACATTCATGGCATGGCCCTCCCCTGCATCGATCCCAAAAAGCAATGCTCAGGCTGTCAGACATTTTCTGAAGCTTAAGTATATATATATAATACATTTTGAGGATGAACAGTTTCCTGGTTCAATTCGAGGGTTCCAGCTCGTTTATAATTGCCATTTGTATCATCACCAGCCGGTAGTTCCAGCCAGGAAGGGCGTCCGTCCCAACCTGGAAGCGCCTCGGGCAGTGGGCACCCAAAGTGTGCAGGAGAACGTCCGTGCCGTGTTGGAGCCGCACCGTTGGACAATCCTCAGGCGCATGTGTCCAGAGGGTAAGGCCACCAACCAGCTGCATGTGGTCATTAAGGAGGCCATGGATGAATGCAATGCGGATGGAGAGAAGAAACTTGCCGTTTGTTTCCTGGAAATATTGGACATGCTTGATGGAAGACCTTTTGTTTTGTCTGTTCTGATATACTTTCCGTATAGCACATGTAGCAAGTTGTGCGGGCTATGCTTTCGAGGTTCTGGCGTGGGAGTCTTGAGGCCCACGACCATGGCAGCTCTGTTGGATGATGCTGAAGCCATCAAACTCTTAGCCAAGGCAGGGCTGGGATGGAACTGCCCCAATGCACTGTGAAAACGGCACATAGTTTACACATGTTTAGACATTTAGATAAGATCTATATAATCAGGTTCATCCATACAAAAGCCTAATTGGATGTGGCTCAACCCTAAGCAGGCAGTATCTTGGCAGCTCGCAACGCAAACCATTCTGGTGAGCCTTTTGAAACCAGGGTGCAGTTGTGAAATGGGGCCCTCCAACGACATAGATACCAGAGTACCCGCACGAGGCGGGGCGGAAGTTGCCTTAGGGATATACTACAAACCTTTATCATGTATAGAACTTGTATGCGCCGTGCGCTAGCCAGGCCTGTGCGCGCGTGCTTTGTGCGAAGCTGTTGCGCTGATGTTGTCCAAGAACATGACCTGCGCGCGACCCCGGTGCAATGCAACGCCAAGCGAATACTTTCCTCACACTTCACAGTGCACACTTCACACCCTGCACTTCGCACTTCACACTTGCACTTCACACTCGGCACTTCATCTCATCTCAAATCATGTGAGCTCTTCTCACCTCATCTCAGCTCTTCTCATCTCATCCCATCTCTTCTCACATGTCATCTAAGTAAGTTCTTCTCAACTGTTTTCATCTCATCCGAGCACTGATCAACCTTTCTCATCTCCTCGAAGTTCGCCTCCTCATCTTAGCTGTTCTGCACGCCAGAAAGTTCTTACTGTCAGAGAGAAGTCTCTTGCATAAAAAAACCATTGGGCGCAGAAAGCTTTTGCACTCAGACACGTGAGACACAGATGCATTTACACAGACAAGCCTTTCCAACATACTTTGTTCATCTTTGTTCTACAAAGCTCGCACAAAGCACTTCCCAGTACTACTTTGTACTACAAAGTACTTCCCAGTACTACTTTGTACTACAAAGCTTGCACAAAGCACGTCCCAGTACTACTTTGCACTACAAAGCTTGCACAATGTACTTCCCAGTACTACTTTGTGCTTGCACAAAGCACTTCCCAGTACTACTTTGTACTACAAAGCTTGCGCAACTACTTCCCAGTACTACTTTGTACTACAAAGCTTGCACAATTACACAAATACTTGTTTACACAGAGAAGCTTTCTTATTCATAATGACAGCAGACATTGCAGCTCCAAAATCGGATCTCATGACTGTATTGTTATGTGATGTAAAATCTCACACCGCCCTTCATGAATGTATTGTTATGTGATGTAAAGTCTCACACCACCCTTCATTGAGTAAAAATCATCCGTGACTCGGAAAATTGTTTCCCAACTTCCTTTGATCATAGATTACGCATGTGAAACACACACAATACCCCTGCAACTCCACAGCTAAGATGTAAACCACAGAGGCCCACTGCATTCTACTGTGCACCCCATTGATGGACCTCTCCAGAACCACCTGAGCACCTCAAAGTCCAAGAGTTTCTATAGCTGTGGTTCGGCGGGCCAGGTCGATCTCAGTGGCGACCTTGTTCCTGCATCATCACCTTCCGCATTGATGTGGGCACAGTGGGCTGCATCACAGCAAGCAGCCCGGGTGATGTTGGATGCTGGGGTTGCTGGGCTGAATTGTGGATGGAGTGGATGGGTTCTTGTTGGATTTGCTCGGGGCAGATTTAGCTTTAAAAGAGATGGGACAGTTCTTGGCCCACCCTAGTTCTTGAAGTAGGTACCACCTAGCAGATACTGGTGTTGCAGAAACACTCAGACTGGTGGGGCTGTTCTCAATGTTGACATACCCACAATATCCCAGAATATCCCACAATATCCCAATCGTTTTGCTGGTCGGCAATCCAGCCATCCATCAGGTAACGTTGAGCAACACCGACCTGGAGGGACTCCGTCGCTTGGGCCGGGCAAGGCGCCAGTCGCAGGATGGGGCGGAAACGGCCTCGGCGGCAGCGCGGCTGCTGGAGCCAGGTGGGGATATGTCTGAGAATGGGGTATATGTCTGATAAATCAATATCATTCAATATCCCTAAACAGTCATATAAAATCATATAAATTTAAGCGCTGAATTGATTTACCATCAGATTTTGGGATCCTCTGTTTTTTGAGACAAACCTATATTACGGTGGATGTGCATGTCTGCATGGTATATAAGAGGACAGAGGCAACTACAAGTTGGATCTGGGTTTAAAAGAATGGTGGGTATGAACCCGCTTGTGCTCAATTTGGAAGATTTTTGGGTTAGTATAGCATATCCTAAGTTTGGGATGGAACCAGCAGAATCAGTCGATCGTGTTTTGGTGTGTCAGTATGTCCAAAGATGGCGGACACATGGTCTGCTCTTTTCGCCTGGTTGGAATTGGTTGGGATTTAAAAGGGGCAGAGATAAAGGAGAACAAATTGTATTCCAGCCCAACCTTTGACCATTTGCTAGTAATATCAATATCATTAGCACATGATATTATTACCTATTGCCTATTGCCTATGTCTGTTTTTGGCATAGCATGGCCGTCATCTGCCAGGCAACTGGAGCTTGTTGCCCCAAGCCCTGCAGCAGTTGGCCGGTGCCACGCCCATGTCGCGACTCCAAGAACTCCGCGAGAAGATGTTGGTAGGACCCATGGGACCTAGACTTCTGTGTTGCCTCCAAGGTCTTGGGGGATTCTTGTGGAAAAACCATGTTTTTTTTTTAAAGGTTGTTTTACAGCTACCAAAGATGAACATTAGTGTAAATGACAACGATGGTTGGAATTTATTACTAGAGAGCTTCCTGTCATCAATCAGTATAGTTGGGATACGATCTTGGCCAGGGTAATGCTTAATAGCGAAAAAAAACGGTTAATAGCGAAAAAGAACGGTTAATAGCGAAAAAGAACGGTTAATAGCGAAAGCTTGTTTTCCTCCGATTTGGCCACTGATTTTGTTTCAAGGGATTGGGAGGTTCCAAGTGCAGATTGGTTGAGTTCTATGAAAACTGAAGGAAACTTGACCAGTTTAGCAACCTTCTACAATTGCCACAATATAGGCAACCTCAGATGATTATAAGCACGGTCCGGATCTGTTTGTAGTATCCTGATGAAGATGGTGGTAGCGGTAGACGTTTGCTGGTTCAAATTCATTGCTTTTCCAGGCATAGTATCAGTGACCCAGAACTAAGACCAATCCAAGGCATGCTCAACCTTGATTTCGGTATGTTTTTATGGCCTTTGGGTTAAATCTAGATGACGTCCCACTGAAAGATTGGATTATCCTCTGATTCAACTTCAACTTCCAGGAATCAACGACGTGGCGCAAGTGGAGGAAGAGAAACCCCCAGTGTTGGCACAGCTGCCATCCCAGCCGCCCCTTTTGACGCGGGTGACCTCCACACAAGTGGAGCAGGAGGACGGTGGTGGGCAGGTGTTGGATTTCTACTCCGATGGAGAGTCTACCTTTGATCTAACAGAATCTACAGTAACACGTCAACCATGCCAGAGACCACCTATGTTTGAGAATGTTCGCGCATGTGGCGATGGGAATTTGTTTGCTTACTTTCCAATGGTGCCAATCCAAGCAACAGGAAGCTTCTGCAAAGGAAGAAGTTGCAGCATCGACCTTGTTGGATATGCTTGGACCCGATGCTTGGCTCCGAAAGGGCAGAATTATGCAGATTTCGCACTTTGGGTTTTTGCCTTAAGTGATGAACTGAAGCTTGGTGCTGTTTTTTTTTAGTCCGACTTCTTTTTTCTTGACGTTTTCGGTCCCTGCTTCTGAGAAACAAGCATTGACGATGCAGCTGATGAAACAAAGACAAACCATGCAAACCCAATTTATTTTTGATCCCATGGAAGAACTGAGATCCTTTGCATGGTAGGCAACATTTGAGCCAAACTTCCCCTCAGCATGAGCTGAGCTGGGTTTGTCCAAGAATGCCAACTACAGTCTACAGTACTGCATTTTGTTTCCATTTCAACAGGACAGATACCCGATTTTTGGGCAAATCCAACTATCAACCCAGCTACCTCCAGAATGGCAGCTGCACCTCATGAGGCAGCTGCCCTGAAAACAAATAATTTGATGCACCCCAAAACGAGGGCAGCAGAGGCTTTTTGGCAGTTGGAAAATGACTCACAGATGGTCGGGAGTCTTATGCTGTTAGGGCCAGCCGTCAGCCGAAATGAAATCTTGCAAAAGGAAACATGATATGAATAGACCCAACTATGACCAACAAATAGGCACACAACTGGCCAAAGGAATGCAAGTGACCGACCGCTGGGAATGTCATGAACAATATATACAATAAGGGGATATCGGCAGAAACTATGAACGTGAGTTGATCGCCAAACCAGTGTACTAAGCCGTGTACCACATCATCATCAGTATGCGTAGAATGCATACCCAAACAACACAACCTTTTCCTTGCCAATCGACGCCACATAGGCATCGTAGTGTGAAGATTCTTGCTGAGGCTGAGATCTCCTCGTTCGAGCAATTTTCTGTTTCAATCTCCACTACTGTTGAGAAACACAAATTATGGTTCGGAGAAGACAGGGGTTGGTAAATGTCCTCATTAAACATCACCCAACTATTGGGGATATAATCTCTGAAAAGATACTTTTGCACGTGATGTTCAAAATCCCCAAAAAGGGACATCTGCCAAACCCCCAAACATCATACATTTTCTCACCAAAAAAACGAGCTCCACCACCCTCCCCTCACATTTCCTTGGAATGATGGTTCATATCCAAAGGGTCGGCTCGCGAACCCCTGAAACGCATCCTAAACGTCTCCGAATCATCACTTTGATTGATTCCGTGTTTGCGATTGATTGATGAAACTCAAGCACCGCTTTCACATGATCACAGACCCGACTTCCAAGTGTTTCAGGAGAGAACCAGTTTGATGCGATTCTTGGTCCAGAGGGAGATCGCAAGAGGAGAAGGAAAATCTGGCCTATCACCGAAGTATCTGCTTGCTTTGCATGCTTCATCTATTTATGTGTCCTGACATGCAAGAGTCGTGCTGAAATATTTGCAATTTTCAATGGAAAGGGTCCAGAACATCTGACAGCGGTCGGTCGCGGCCCGCCGCACCATAATTGTCGGTGGTCCTTCCAGTGCAGAGGGTTGAGTTCACCCGGGCTTCTCCAAAGATAGGGTATACATGGGTCATGGTATACCGGTATACGCCAAATCCACTAGTTCATCATAGTTCATCATCCTATCCCCTTGGCCATTTTGTTGGTTCAGGTCGACATCCATGCGCAGAGCCAGCGCTTCATGGTGCTGCTGAAAGCTGCCTTGAACACTCTCCCGAGCGCCCGTGGGCCATGCTACAGAGCAATCATGGGAAGTGAGTTGGCTCCAGTGACTTGGAATATCTTGGAATCACTGATCGAATCACTTGAAATTCATGGTGAAACTGTGAAACTGAAGTGATGCTGGACTTGATGATGGAGTCCCGTAGCATCAGCGTTTCGTCTTATATCATCTTATATCCATATGGATAGTAAATATTAAAATGATTAGAAATTGGGGCCTGAAGCAAGGTCTTGAAAAAATGGCAGACGCAAGGCAATGACAAGCAAAGCAATCAAGTGAAACTCACAACCGGTTGTGGTTCACTGGTGTTACTCACAAAAAAAGGGTGAAAGTTGAAAGGCACCCCAAAATCCTATGGTTTATCATGTTCTCCTTATTTCTATGGCCATAAATTAGGGCGTATCCGTTTCTGGACAAACGTAGGGGAGTTCTTGAAACAGAATTTCGTTGAGACTGGTTCACTGATCATTAAAATGAAGTTTAAATCTAAGGTTTAAGTCTAAGTCATGTTGAAATGACGTTTAAAGTCAGTTCCTGAGGTGACTTCCTTGAAACACTACTCTCCGGGTTCCATCATCCGTTGGCCCTTTGGTGCCTGTGGCACCCTGGACTTCTCTTCGGCCATGACCTGTTTGACCCAGCAGCTGAGTGGTGGGGAGAGCCGCGGCTACCGGGGTGTCATCTTCAAGGTGCGACGCTTGTTGACGGCTAAGGAGGTGGATGAAAGCAACCGCCAGGTGCCCTGGCTGGAGAGGTGGCTGGGGGATGGGTGGATGGAAAGTGTAAGTGATGGATGAAGATTTCCGGTCGCAAGGTGTGATAGCTGGAAAGGCTGAGAAGATGATATAGGTCCATAGGTAGGACTTGGGCAGGCAAATGCAGACAGCATGCAAACCTTCCACCACTCACTATTCTGACCCAACAGAAGTTGGTTGTCATCTGGAGCTCTGTACCATTCTCAAGCAGTGGACCCCTGTCCTGAGGTTTTGTTCACTGGCGGTGCCATGCGTGTGGTTGGTATCTTCCCATTGAACGGTCCACTGCTGGCCGCAGAGAGAGAACTATCAGTTCAGTCAAAGCCTTTGGTGCAGCGCATGGGGCATTTCTGCCCAAGTCTGGACATGGTGAGACGTCCAGAAACAGCACAACCCTGGGAAGTTCAAGAGCAGCCCCTTGTGACCCGGAGCATTTGTGAAATTGTATGAACACATGTCATTTTGTTCAGGGGTTGGTGATCTTGGGGATTTGAAACACGATGTCTCCAAGGGTGAGGTGAGGTTGAAGTTGGATACAGAACGTAACAGTTTTTTGCATGTCTTGAAGCTTGAACCTGACCGGAGCCCAGGTGATGGTTCTGCTGGATGAAGAGGAAGAATAGGAAAGTTTACTCCCAAAGTCAAGCTTTGGAGAAGTGCATATAGTTCCCATCAGTTGCCCAGATTGAATCATTGAAAGCTTTGCTAATATCATTTTAGATGAGGCTGAGCTAAGGGCACAGGTATGCGGCCCAGGTTTATGTCAGTTATGAAGCTCACTTCTGGAGCGTCAATGTTTGTGCCGTTTGAAGAGCGATTGCAGAGCTCGCAGGCTTGGGGTTCATTGCACAAAGAAGCAATGTCCTCGGGCACGGCACAGGGCTTCTCAAGAACCGACATTACCATCAATCTCCAAGCAGATCATGCTAATCTCAAAGAAAGGTCGCAGTTGATTATATTTGTTCCTCCAACCTCCACATCAATACAGCATTTGTGGATTTGTGATGGATTTTGTGGCTGTCAAGACATCCCGAGTGATCTCTAGGTATGTCTCAAGAGGGAGGACTCCCCCAAACAGCCGCCTAACTGATTTGTGTCCATTTTGAAGCCACTCATGCTTTGCGGCCCTCAATTTGAAGACCCATCATGCTGATCGGGCCCACAATGGATCAACTGTTGATGACTGTTGATAAACGGTCACATTCAACTCACGTGCCAAAACAGACAATTCCCAATTTTTATGGCCATCTAGGGGAAAATAAGGGTTCTAACCATGACATTCTGAGGTATTCGCATAATTTTGAAAGAAACCCATCGAGAACATCTCAGCCGTCAGTCTTGAGAACCTTCTGCAATCCCGGAAGTCGAAGACCAGCTGCTCACCGGCAGTTGATGGAGGCCAGAAGAAAGGCAGATTAGGCAACAAAATACGATGTGAATAATCTGAGGTTATGCAATGCATAGACAAATTTATTTATATTATATTATATTATGTTATGTTATGTTATGTTATTTTATGTTATATTGTATTGTATTGTATTGTATTGTATGATATCATATCATATCATATTATATTATATCATATTATATTATATTATGTTATGTTATGTTATGTTATGTTATATTATATTATATTATATTATATTATATTATATATACTGTGAAACTTGGGTGAGGCTTTGTCAAGCCCATTGCCAGGAAAACAAACGAAATGTTCCGGAGTTTCCGCTACTCACTGCACGCAGAGGGGGGCTCACTGTGCATGCAACACCCTGGTCCAGAAACGGGGCCGCCATTTTGGAAGCCTTTCCTTCTTCTGGCAATAGTGCGGCCCGTTTTTGAGGCCGGTTTTTGGCCCCATTTTTGGGACCACGAAAGAGCAAACAGGAGCTGCTCGACAGTCCTGACGGCCCGGATTTCGTCCATTTGCTGGCGCCAGCCTTCCTTCTGCAATGCAAGCCGCCATGGACACACACATCCGTATAATACTGTATGTATCTATTATATTATAACACGTAGTAGTACATGTTGTTGTAGAAACGTGATGTAATGGTATGTTTTCTCCTGTTGTATTATATATTATTATTAATAATAATAATAATAATATATATACATACATATTATGTTTTATTATATTGATATTGCATTACATTGCATGAAATTGCGTCACATTGCATTACATTGCATTACATCGCATTACATTGCATTGCATCACATTGCATCACACTGCATTACATTGCATTACACTGCATTACATTGCATTACTTTGAATTACATTGCATTACATTGAATTACATTGCATTACGTTGCATTACTTTGTACTACATTGCCTTACATTGCGTCACACTGCATTACATTGCATTACTTTGCATTACATTGCACTACATTGCATTACATTGCATTATATTGCACTACATTGCATTACATCGCATCACAATGCATTACGTTGTATTACATTGCATTACATTGCATTACATTGCATTACATTGCATCACATTGCATTGCATTGCATCACATTGCATTACATTGCATTACATTGCATTACATTGCATTACATTGCATTACTTTGAATTACATTGCGTTACATTGAATTACACTGCATTACGTTGCATTACATTGTACTACATTGCATTACATTGCGTTACACTGCATTACATCGCATCACAATGCATTACGTTGTATTACATTGCATTACATTGCGTTACACTGCATTACATTGCATTACTTTGCATTACATTGCATTACGCTGCATTACATTGCATTACTTTGCATTACATTGCATTACATTGCATTACATCGCATCACAATGCATTACGTTGTATTACATTGCATTACATTGCATTACATTGCATTACATTGCATTATATACACCGTATTGAGTTTTATTGTATCATATCATAAAGCATTTCATTACATTACATTCCATCGCATGATATCATCTAATGCCGTATTGTAGTATATTGTGTTATATTGTATTGTGTTCGAACATGTATTTTACTATATTCTATTTGATGTATTATATTCAGTCTTGTTTTGTTATATGTCTGTATGTTCCGTATCAACTATGATATGACGTGTCTATCAGATCATCCAGATCTATTTGCCGTGCTCTTCTGACCTACGGCCTCGCGCTGAAAATTGGCGGGAGAGCCGTTATAACGATGATGATGTTATAACCACGACGCCTTCATGACGAAAGCAATCGTTTGCGAACCATCAAGCAACCCTTCCTTTCTAATTTTCCCGGAGCCTTAGACTCAGACTGTAAGATATGTTAGATACGATTGGATGGCCACAGTCACAGGTGGCTGTGACTTGTCATGGAAGGTCTTTCAACGGCTGAAGGGTTCTTAAACTTTGAAACAATGTTTGCCCCAGCCGACTCATGTAATTCGCACGCCTTCACTCCAGATTTATGCATCCTAGATGTACAGTTTGTCGATTGATCTCTGAAAAAGATGGCGTGGGACACCTACAAGTATCTACAAGTCTTCAAAAATCGAAGTGTTGCAGGGTACTGACCAAGGTCCATCAACTCCCCCTGTCTCAGATAGATAATCGGGGCTGAGGAGAAGTCAGTCTATGAAGCACTGCAGCTTTGAGCACAACATGAAGACGGTCACAGCTTGAGTATCAACATCATATCACTCAAATCACAGCTGGTAGCATCTGTATAATCTATATAGGGACCAACAAGTTTAGATATGAGTGGCCACAACAGAATAAGATCCATTGACGCAGTAGAAACAAGCATGAGTGGTCCAAAATCCAGTGGTACAATAGAAACAAACATGATGCCTTGCCTGTCTGACAAACCAAGTTCACGACACTGCAGTTTGCATCGACCGCAACAGATTGAATATGCATCGACCAGAAATCAACATGGATAACCAGAGCATTTGCGCAGGTGCTAGCTCTTCATAACAGTTTGTGAGAAACTCTTGGATTGAGAATTAGTCTTGGAAGTGGGCAAGTTCACACATCGATAAATCCAGACATCCCCGCAGCTATCGCTTGAGACCTATGGCTGATTTGCAGAGGAAGTTTCACATGCTTCGGGGAAACAAATGATTGCGGGGCAGTTGTTGCTGGATGATGAGTCTAACTTAGGACCTGCTTAGAGGTTGTCAAACCGCCAGGACAGAGTAGATCCTGCCGGTCACGATGGGCAAGGAAAAGCGCGCCAAGTGACTTGGATGACTTGTCTGACTTTGGCCGACCTGCAGCGGTTTTGCCCGCTGACACTCGGATTGGTATCGCAGTATATCGAAGTTTTTTTTTTTTGTACAAAGGGAAAATGGCCAGGAATCAGGAATATGAATAAGCTGTATTTTGGGGTACAAACCATGGTTTCGAGTCAAAAACAACCACAGTTGATGCCGTGCACCACTGAGGTCCAAAAAGAATGGGCCGCTGGTCATAGCTCTGGAGCCTCAACTTGATCATCTTTATGTTTGGATTGTCTTGATGGGAAAGATGAGGTTTTAATTACCACGTGTATATATATTTATATATTTATATATTTATATATTTGTATATTTATATATTTATATATTTATATATTTATATATATATATATTTATTTATTTATTTATTTATTTGTTTATTTATTTTAACATGATTTCAGAGAAACCCATGTTGATCCAACATGATCCAACATGATTCAATGGCCGGGTCCCACCACTGAGTGCACCGAGTGCCTAAGGAGACGGCGACTGTGCCACAGATTGTCCCTCAAGTCATCGGCGATGACACGGGAGGCAGGAGTGCGGTGTGTGATTCTTCTCCAAAAAAGACTTCCATTTTCTCATCTGCTTCGTTCCGCTTTTTCTTTCGTTTGATCACGTACCTATTCGTTCAGTTTCCTTCTTCAACCCCATGAACTCTAGCTGCCATCACTGGCACGCACAGCTGCCATCCATGAAATCGGCCCTGAGACTCAGTGCCTCGACGCCGGCCTGCAGTGCAGAGGCCAGAGTCTGCCAGAGATTTTCTTTCGTGAAATCGGAGGTTGATGTATTTTCCAGAGATTTCCGTTTTGGGGGACTTCAAACAGCCCCTTGAGAGTGTTGAGATGATCCCAATGATTCAGAGATGTTTGGCACACATCACCATTGGACCATGCTTGTGCAAGGCCACAAGGCCCCCCCAAATTAACAGGTTGACATGAGTACCATCTAGTTATTTAACATAGCCATGGAAAATGGCCCATTTATAGATGGTTTACCTATTAAAAATGGTGATTTTCCATGGCTATGTTAAATAACCAGTGTGTAACCAGTGTAACCAACAGAATGTCCTGGTCTTGGGAGTCTCCATCTTTGACACTGCCAGGGTGCCGGCGCAGCCGCAGGAGATGGGCATGGCCTGGATGTCAGTGGGTCCAAGTGGGCTAGAAGATGATAGAAGTTAAGTCAGTTAAGTTTAAGATAGCTTCCATTGGCTTCCATCTTCCGGCCTGGCACGCAGTTCCGCTGGTTTAGGAGATAGAAGATAGCGACAGCGACAGTGACAGTGATGATAGCAGCAGTCCCATCCTCAGAGTGTTTCCAGGGATCAACAGAAGTTGGCCGATATGACACTTTGTGGCAACAGCTCTGGAACTGAGACATGTGATGACATGTGTATAATATAAACTTCAAGATTGAAGCCTCACACGCACACAACTTGCTGGCTGAATGTTACGCAAATCATCATAATCGTGTAAACATATACAAAAACTACGTATGTATGTATGTATGTATGTATGTATGTATGTATGTATGTATGTATGTATGTATGTATGTATGTATGTATGTATGTATGTATGTATGTATGTATGCAATGTATAATGTATGTAATGCATGTACTGTATGTATGTATCTAGTATGTATTATGTATTTATTGTATGTATGTATGTATGTTATGTATGTATGTATGTATGTATGTATGTATGTATGTATGTATGTATGTATGTATGTATGTATGTATGTATGTATGTATGTATATGTGCATTACTATTATTATCTAGTATTATTATCATTATAATATATGTATATATATATATACACTTTAAAATATAAAGCATACAACTTCATTGGATTTCAATGGTTACTTGGTTCATAGCATCCATCAGGCAGTTCCTCCAGCAGTTTGCCCAACTTCCAGCAGTTATGCCAAACGGCGCCTGTCGGTCCACTGGAGCGGGGTGGGGAAACTCCGGGTGACGACATGGTTTCGACAGTGGCGAACGACATCTTTGGTAAGGCCTCATCAATAGATACATGGATAGACACTTTGATTTAAGCGCGATTTTGTAAGTTGCAAGCGCACGGAGTTGTGATTGACAGATCCTATGATATTCCTCATAGAAAAGTCCTCCGTTCAGTATTTTGGTGATGTTGTCAGAGGAGCGAGCAGCTGAACCACCTCAATTCACACAGGTGCGAGCAGAGCTACGGCTCATAGTGGGCTTGAGTGAAGCACCAAAGCTGTAGTCCATTTGGAACATGTGGGAGATGTTGGAGATATTGGAGGAAATCACCAAAATATATCAAAATATACCAAAAATCACCTTCTCAAATAGAATTTAAATATTCCTCTCCTCTGGCAGCCTGTAGGCCCATCATGGCCCATCAGAATGCTGCGATGCCTGGCCCAGGCGTCTCCACCTGCATCACCAGAGGCACATAAGCCTTGGGACGACTTGGGACGACATGGAGAAAACCAGTGAAACCAGTGGTATATCATTTGGGGGAGGAGGGTAATGAGTTCCCCTGCAAAGGTTTATGATGTTTTATGAGTGCCTCGAGCAACTCTAATGGCACTTTCTCGCTGCTCGGGACATGAGAGGGGTAGAGTTGTTGATGGACCTGTTTTGTCGTTTTTTTTGATGGAACATGATGGAAGTCAACAGTTTGGCATTGGCGGCCTGGATTGATCTGCGTGTGAGCCCTCTGTGCAAACCTGTGTCGGCTGCAGGAACTATTGAGCCAGCTTGCAAAACATTGAGTCTTGAGGTACTTCAAGTGATCTGATCTTGGAATCCATTTACACGCAGAAAGATTTAAATTTAGCCCAAATCCTTTGACGTGGAACCACATTCCTTTCGAAGAAACAAATCTTCGTTGCCATGGCCTCAATGCTTTCTTGGGCGTTGCTGTGCACGGTCGCCACCGCCTCCGCTACGACGTCGGCTCGCACTTGGCGGCCGTCCACGGCGGGCTTCGCTTTCCCCGAGGACGAGTGGTCCGAGGTTTTGGCGCAGCACTTGGGTGGCAAAGACTTTGGCGTGGCATTGGCTGGTGGAGGCACCAGAGGTTTGGCCCTTGGGCATGGAATCCTGCGCAGCCTCAGAGAAACAGGACAGCAATGGACAGCATGAGTCATGGTTTGATCCACATCGATCAACTTGTTTCTCAAACCTAAGGTGATGGACTTGAGTGAAGCTAGTGAAGCAGCGCAAACACTCGATATTGTGCCATGTTTCTCACAAACCACTCTCTGTTTGCCTGCCGGATAGAATGAGCGGAATGAACGGAATGAGCTTGGACGAGTAATTTGTAATTTGAAAATCAAGATCCGCCTTGACCAGTTTCTGTTGCCCTTCAGGATTGCTCGAAAAAGCCAAGTACTTGAGTGTGACCTCTGGCTCAGTGTGGTTAGGCATCTTGGCGAACTGTGGGAATAGATTTCTGTGAGGAGGCTGCAAAACTGTTTGCGTGAGCCAGGGTACCATTGTGAACACAGTCTACCTGTTCAGATGGATGATGTGATGTTCAACACAGTTACCTGTTCGAAAGCTGTGCAAGTCTGATGCTATCCCAGGTCTCCAGTACATTTGTTTGGATTTGTTTGGTATTTTCGCAACAGAGTTGGGTTTTCCCAGTTTTCCTCCTTTCGGCGGAGGCATTCCTTTCTACTACCAGTCGCTGGATAGCCTTGACGATTATTTGGGGAGCACCTTGCAACCCACGCAGATGCTGCCGGAAGAAGTAGTCAAGAAAACAGGCATGGCTGCAAGGTGGTTGGCAAATCAATACCCCTATGGACTTGATGGATTTTCACCAACATTATGGAGACACATGGAGACCATTTATAATTTATAAGACTGGCAATGTCAAACGACAGTGATTGAGAAAAATCAAACTATATATATATAGGGGGAACATGTGCCGTTTTTGATGCCTCTGGCTGGGTGATGTTTCAATGGGACAGCAATCACTTTGGCTGAGTGGCTTGGAAAGGCTCAAAGGTGGGTTCATTTCTCAACACTGGTTAAACGCAGAATAGCTTAGACTGCTTCGGCCCATTGATCGGGATGGCTTTGGAGTGTTTTGGATAACTCTATATGGTACAGGCCTCTAACCCCACCCCGGTCATGGTACCATTCCTGGTCCTGGTCCTCGCCCCTGTGGGAATGGGGGGTTTCTCCCCTCCCCCCCTGTGGGAATGGGGGGGTCTCGTGTGTATGTATGTATGTAGGTATGTAGGTATGTAGGTATGTAGGTATGTAGGTATGTAGGTATGTAGGTATGTAGGTATGTAGGTATGTAGGTATGTAGGTATGCATGGATGCATGGATGCATGGATGCATGGATGCATGGATGCATGGATGCATGTATGTATGTATGTATGTATGTATGTATGTATGTATGTATGTATGTATGATTATATGATTATGTATGTATGTATGTTTGTGCTTGCACAGATGGTGGATGCTACGTTACAGTACCTCCCTCGTACTTGCACAGACCCTTGCTGCTACGTTATAGGATCCTTTCTGGTACCTGCACAGACAGTTGATGTTACGTTACATGGCCTTCTATTGTACACGCGCAGACAGTTGATGCAACGTTATAAGGAGTTATAAGATCTTCTCTCCTACTTCCGTAGACTCTTGATGTTACGTTACAAGATCTTCTCTTGTACTTGCACAGACAGTTGATGTTACGTTGAAAGACCTTCTTTTCTACACGCGTAGACAGTTGATGCAACGTTAAAAGAAGCTATAAGATGTTATAAGATCTTCTCTCCTACTTCCATAGACGCTTGATGCTTCGTTACGAGATCTTGTCTTGTACGTGCACAGACACTTCATGTTGCGTTCCAAGACCTTCTCTTTTACATGCGCAGACACCTGATGGTCTCTGAAAGGATCTTCTCTTGTACTTGTACAGACACTTGGTGCTACATTAATAGACCTTCTCTTGTTCTTGCACAGACACTTGAGGTTATAAGATGTTAAAAGATCTTCCCTTGTGCTTGCAAACTAGCACAGACGCTTGGGCTTGGTGCTACGTTAAAAGATCTTCCCTCGTACTTGCACAGACACTTGATGCTACGTTACAGGGTGCTGGGCTACCGAGGTGGGGGACCACCATCTCGGGGGGTAGCCGAGGGTAGCCGGCCTGGGGGACCATACCATCGGCATCGGGGGGGGGGGCACCGGGCCGCAGACCGGGACCATATATTGGGGCCCAACTACAGAAAACAGCATAATATGACATAAACATGTCCTGGCAGGTACAGCGGTGTCGCGGATCACCTATCTCTCCGAGTATCCGAAGGGATACCAAGCCGGGGATAGCGACAAAACTGTTGGCACTTTGCTGGGCAGTGAGGCCAACTCAACATCCAAAACTGTTGAGAGCGGGAGCATCTTTGGTTGCCCAGAGGATGAAGGTTGGTGCGCCTGCATGGTGAGCCGCTTTCAACCTGGAAGTGGACATCAGTTGTGGTCACTCTTTGTCGCCTATATCTTCTTGCATCCCTTTGACTTGGCAGGACGTGACTCGACTCATTGTCATGAATCCCAGCTGGAGCGAATGAGGGCCAAATTTGGAAATTCCAAGACCATCTACACTGCCAAGGACGTTTCGCGAAAGCTTCCCTTTCTGTTGTCGCAATCAGCCATTCTGGCGCCTTACACTGGGCTGCAGGCTGATGATCCGTTGAAGTTTTTTCCGTTGGAGCAAACTCCCTTGTACACCGGAACAGTACCCGCCTACCCCAAGAATCAGAGTGGCATGCCTCATGACATCGGGGATGTGCTGGTGGAATCCTTTGCCTGGGATTCAAAGATGGTCAGCCCCTGGAACGCCACCAATGAGGATCTCATGTACCTGGCACTGGACCAGATGGGAAGGGTACCTGATCCAAGAAGCATTGGGGATTAACCCAGGGTTTGGTGCGCCAGAATACATAGGACAACCACACTACGGACAACCGCTTGTTGGTTGGCAGTTTGAGATAGTTTGGCATTGTTTTTGCTTTGCTAGTTCACAGGTTGATGTTATGAGCCACTGGGCTGCCCAGGTTGGATTTGTCGCGTGGAATCTTCAACGCAGGGGACTTGGCAGAATGGGGCGGCATCGCAACTTCCTATGTTGCTGATTTCCAGATCCGCGAGTGGGCCGATAAGTCTTTTGGCTGCATGGCTGTCTGCACATGGAGAGCATGGTGATCCATTTGCAGCTTCAACTACAGAAAAGCTAGGCTTGACATTTCTTGTGCTTTCTCCAGCAGCGCAGAGTAGGGACAGTTGCATTGCCCTCAGGATTCCCAGATGTCTCATTGCAGAAGGGGAGAAACTGTTGCCGCAGGCCAAGCTCTGGTCACCAATGGCCACTTGGCAGTCCAGAAGTTTGGGGCAGAAGAGAGGAGTATTCAGTCTTTGTGAGACATGTCATTTATGGTAAATATGCGGCCCGACTTTCTCCACAATCTAGGCTTTTTCACGAAGTGAAATGCTGGGGCATCAATGTTTTATTTACTTTATTCCGTGTTACTTCCCCTGATCTTTTCCTGGCATCGTGGAATCTCATGATACTTTGACCCATGTTATGCATAGCTCGCTGGAGTTGTGTTTCAAATCAATGATGTATGTGAGAACATGTCAGAACATGGATGCACAGAAGAGAGTGCTAGGGCAAAATAGTTCACACAGTTTGGACATGAAATCAACAGACAGAAACACAAAAAGAAGCACAGGGTCCATCAGCAGACTTTCATTTTTCAGCAAAGAGTACCACCGACGATCACTGACGATGAAGAACAAATCAGGAGCAAAGGTATTGCAAGCTCTTGTTTTACGTGCTGTCACCCCAACAAGATCCTAACAAACGGGAGGGAGAGCCCTTTTTCAGTCATTGTTTGTAGCGCTGGATTGCTGTTCTTGCGGCAGTTGGGGGGCTGGTGCTTCGCGTCCTCATCAATTCTCAGATCGGCTTTGATAGTTTCGTCTGCAACTCCTGCTGGTAGTGCGCAGCACTGCTGCACGACTCTTTGGCAGAGATCACCGACAGCAACGTTGACGCCTGGATGTCGAAAGCCTTGAAGAAGACTTCCACAGTGCCGACTCCGGCAACGCTGAAAGACGTCACGGAAGCCCAGCTGAAGGACAGATGTCATCGTTACTATTCCGCGGATCGCTACATTTTGCGAGGCTTCCTGGAAGTTGATGGGTCCAAAGCTGATGAAAGCCGAATGGCACAGGAACATACAGGAACTGGGTTTGCAGCGACTTCGTTGCGCTGCCGGAGAAGTGAAGATTTTGAAAGCTGAAGTGCAGAATCAAATCCTGAGCCCAAAGGCTTCAACAACGTACGAGGAAATGCTGGCCACCCATTCGAAAGTAGCTGGGAGTTGGCCTCCCAAAGGGGCTCCTGCCCAAGTTGTAGCCCCTGTAGAGTCACTGGACGGTGCTGAGGATGCTGTTTCCGTCCAACCGACTTGTAACGACACGGGGCTTGACACCTCAAAGGATACAGACCGAAAAAGGATGACTCCACAAGATCCTTTGAGTTGAGTCCCAGATGTACTACCAAGATCTACCAAGAAGGATTCCTATGAGGATCTTGCTTCCACCGGTGTGGTGCTGGTGGTTTTCACCGGCCGCCGTGATCGCCTTAGGATTTTGTTGCGGTATATCCGTCGAGACTTGCGCTCTGCTGGTGGAGTAGTGGATCAGGTGATCTTTGCATTTTGGCAGGTGACCCCAAAGGACATGTCCTACATCCAAGAACAGCTCCAAAGCCCGGAGGGTACCGCCTTCGAGGTTCGGGACTTCACAGAAGAGTGTTGGGGTGCACCAAGCACGAAGCGTCAGCCAGGTGAGAGCCGCATGACTGGCACTGTTTATGTGAAGGTGGATGATGATGTTGTTTACATTGCCGAACATGCTATTGCAAACCTGGTCAGGGAGAGATTGCGGGAACGCTGTTTGTTGGTTTCTGCCAACGTGGTAAATCATGCCATTATGTCTGCCGTTCATCAAAAGCATGGAGCTCACCGAGGGTTTTGGCCCAGCGCAGAGCAGCGGAGGAATCCTTCCATGCGATTGCTCTGGAAGAAGATCGCAGAGATCAATCTATCTCCAGAGTTCGTCATTGAGCGATTCCCTGCCTCACATTGTGTGGTAGAGCGCTGGGATTGTGCAGCCCTGGTTCATGAGAGTTTTCTGGACCGTGCCTCAGACCAGACTCTCTGCGTTTTTGATTTTGGATGGTACGATTTTAATCGTGCTGGCTATAGAGAACACAAGTACATCCACAGATCTCCCTAACAAGGAGTATTGGACTCAAGGCGCTCGTTGGTGTACCAACTTCTTTGCCTTCAAGGCTTCAGATTTGGTGGGCGTAGACTGGCAGAATGTCTATGGAAAGGGCGACGATGAAGAGGAGTTCACCGGATCCGATGCGGAAAGACGTGACCGCCACTCCTGTGCTGTGGGTTCTGCGTTGGTGATCCACTTCTCTTCTGTCTCGCAGGAACAAGGACTCATGTCCTACACAAACCTGCTGAAACGATATGACAAGCTGTCGCGCCGTGTGAAAGAGCCGTTGACGCTGGCAGAGAATCGTAAGGCTGAAATGTCATCAAGCTGTTCCTTTTCAACTTATTTATGCGTTTCTACAAGCAAGGAGATCTGAGAATGATGGACATTGATGAAGCTCTTGCTTTCTAGATTATGTGTTCTGCTTGTGTTGCTGCGCTCTGATTGACAGACATGCTTCAAGACAGCATTTCTGTGCGTAACAACAACATGGCGGCGAAAGCCACACAGTTTTTACATCTTTTGCCCTTTCAAAGCAAGACCTGATAACCGAGGAAGTGGATGAAAAGTCTGTTCCAGTGTGTCTTGGCATTTCCAAGCCTAAGCGCATCATAGTGTATCAACCTCCTGCTGTATTTCCTTGCCTTCACGGTCTTTCCATGTCTTTTGCATTTTTCTTCCTAAACTGCTTTGCTGCTTGCACTGCTTGACCGATTTGATGCTTTTAGTGTCTTAGAGCATCTTAGAGCATTGAGGACCTACGAACAAGCAGTGGGTGATGCTGGAGTCTATGATGCAGCTGGGCTGAACGGCTGAACATGGCAGTGGACAGAAATGATGCACATGTGCTGCTTCACCTTCACTGGGAGAGTAGGTCTGGAAATGTGTCTTGAATCCCCCGACCACCCCGACTCAAGTGATTCTCAGACGGCGCTGGCGCTGGTTGTGAAACGTCTTGGCTTCCCGGTCCCCAACTTTGAGACACAGCACTGTGGCACCGCTTGACGATCCCAGGACCTGGGCCACATCCCCCTGTTGCGGAGACGGATCTCGCAGCTTGGCGCCACAGACCTGAGACCATGGAGGTACCATGATTAGATGACAAAAAATACAAACATCGTTCATTGAGTGAAATGGAAAAGTAAAAAGATTATATAGTGTATAGAGTGTGCTATTGTGTGGTATATAGATTGATGTACTGTAAAAAAGAACAATATTGTGTTATATATATAATATATATAATATATATTATATATTATATATATAATATATATTATATATATAATATATATAATATATATTATATATATTATATATATATTATATATATTATATATATTATATATATTATATATATTATATATATTATATATATTATATATATTATATATATATTATATATATTATATATATTATATATTATATATATTATATATACTATATTATATATATATTATATTATATATAATATATATAAAATATATAATATATATAATATATATATAATTTATAATATATGGATATATTGTGAATTATCTAATATCATTTTATCATCCAATGGTATTATATACTGACTGATTTTTTTGCTTATGAACATATGATTAGATATGGTCTGATGTGATGTATTTGATATCGGTTATAGATGATACCCATTCTTTGATACTATTGGATTTTAGCAAGTGATGCTATGAGAGATGACATGGTTCTTAGATGATACCATCCCTGTTTTAGATATTTGGTATGGTGGGATCGCGGGTTGGAGGTATCTGATATTCTTTGATGGTGTCATACCATCAGGGAACCATGAATTGATGTCCATATGTATCATAGAAATTGTTTGGTTTTGGCATCGCAGTAGTGTGTTTTGTGCGTCTGCCTTCTTTTTTTTCGGTCAGTTGGGTGAATTCCTTTTGACCGTTCCTATTTCAAATCAGTCACACACACACACACGACCAACAGCTGCGAAATGAGGGGACAACTCCATGTTCGATTCACGAATGACCTTTTCAACTGGGTATATTCATGAGAAAGTGAGACGAGGCAAACAAATCATGTGGCGAAACACATTTCTTTGGAGCACATTTCGTGCAACACTTGTCCGCTTCACATCGTTCAGGAAGATGGCTATCATCACCAGCGAAGCCATTCACTTGGATCTCTGTGAGATGACGTGCCCTATCCGCTGGCCCTGGGCTGCACTGATCCGTAGCCCTTGCTACCCCGGCAGGTACGTTTTGGCGGCGTTTGGGCAACCTGGATGTTTGACCCCTCCGAATGCTGCCGGTGCTTCCAACCCCAAGATGAAGGCGGGGATGCCGTGACTTCAATGAGAATCTATCCTGGCACCAGTCATGATGGCTCGATGGCTCATGGATGCTTAGTTTACACCAACAAATACGGTCATCATCATGTAGTGACTACTACCAGTTTGCATCACCGCAAGGGATAGCAGAAAAACAAAGCTGACCGAGGCTGGAAGCCTCACAGTGTTTGAACCATCGGAGTAGCTTGCCTCCGACCATCGAGGGTTTCGATGGGCCTGTAGCAAAAACTGGTTTTGATGGTTGGTTGTTCCAGAGAAGTAGTTTGACTGAACTTTGCATCCCCCATGCAGTTGTGTTGGAGTAGGACGCACTTCTCCACTATAGCTCGAACATAAACGAAAGGGTCTCCGGGTCACCGGGGTACAGTAGTTTCTATCCCCTGCAATAGAACATGATCGGGCCGCCGACCAACAACTGACGCTGCTATACGCTGCTGACAAGCCGCTCTTCTTTGCCAAGACATGATACTCATGAAACTCATGATTCAACCTGTACAAACATCTACGAACCATCAGTTCAGATCAGTACTGGTACCAACCCATGTCACGTTTCTGCTGAAGGTTTCCAGCATTTTGGTCGCAAGTTCAATCTGCTGCTTGGCGCAAGTCCAGGTGCGGATTTCTGTTGATTTGAGTTATGATACTTTCCTTCAATGGAGCAGCTCAGCGATTTTCCCATCAACTTTGTATCAGTCCCATTGTTAGTTATATTTGTGATATTGCTCCAAAGGCTGGGTATAGCATACATCATAAATCCACATACATTATATAATATTATATACATCCTGATTGTTGTTGTTTATGCCTACAGTCGTTGGAAGTCACTAATAACTGAGGCCGTCGAGGCCAATGAGTCTGCGGTCATCCGAGGGCGTGTCTTGGTGCCCACGAGATGGTCAGTTGATGTCAGTTGTCATTCCAATATACCAGGAATTGCCACCTCTGGAGCCACAATGCCCAAGGCTACAGCGTGGTGGACAATGAGGTCTTGGGGATCAAAGGTGGTTGGAAAGTGGACGTTGTGCGCCTTGACTCCACTGCTTGCAGTGTCAATGGATTCGCAGTGATGAGCAGGGTGCCAGTTGCCACACTGGGGTTCAGTATTTCTCATTTCGATCACTGATATCTCAGCATGACCCCCAAACGTGGTTTTCTGACCATCGATTTTTGAGGGTGAAGCACCAAGCGAAGCATGAAGCATGGCAGCCCCAGAGCCCCAGGTGGGTCATCATTTTTCCATCCAAGACGTTCCGGGAGAGCATCCCACCTCAGACATCCAAGCTGCTTCCAACGTATTTCCCCAACGACTTGGCCTCCGAAATGATGCTTGGCATTGCTTGGCAGTGGGTCAGGGGATCCCCTCAAGTGGAAAATATACGAGACTTGGATGGCACCATGGTTTCATTTTCCCAGTAAACAAATCTAAACCATCTCTTAAATAAATGCGGTGCAGGACTTCTTGTTCTTTTTGTTCATCATGACCGAATGCTATCCTGGTGCGCCATCAGGGTCCGTTGAAACCTGACACCTGAGCTGAGGAAGACCCGCTTTGAAATGAGCGTTGCCAGTCAGTATGCATCATGGCTCATGCAAAGGCGGGAGTGATACCGTTGGTGTGGATGGTCGTATGACATCGTATGTCGCTGCATCCCCTGACAGGTCTGTAGCCAAAGAAATCTCGGAGATGTTGGGTGATGTGAAGGAAGTGATAATCTAAGAGCTGCAACTTCCAGGCTCCTGTTGTTGGTGTCAAGATTATTCGGTTTGATACATTGATATACATTGATATACATTGATATACATGGATGGACATTGATAGACATTGATATACATTGATATACACTGATATGCATTGATATAGATATACATCGATATGCATTGACTTTTTTGTAATGTTCTTTTCCCGATGGGACATCCACTACTTGGGGAATCTGTAGTTGTTTTTCCATTTTATTTGGATTCCCTAAGCAAATCCAAGTTGATATAGATATACATTGATATGCAATGATATACATTGATATAAAGACATTAGTAACAATTGAATACATGAACGGCATAGCAGCTATAGCAATGAATGCAACATTAATTCACTTGGTATGTCGATCATTCAAGATGCGACTGTCTTGCCGATGGAGCCTGGCAATGCTGTTGCGCAAATCTCCCAGTGGAGATACCGGGCTTTCGGGCCCAGCATTGGCCCATGCAAGGTCCAGGGGCTCACTTTGAGAAGCCCTACTGGGATGATTGCTGAAATGATTGCTGGGGAGTGGTTGACAACTAGGTGGATGGTGATGGGACATCAATTTTGGGATTATAAAATAAATTATACCCTTACAAACTTTGATTATCCCAGTACAGGAATTTTGGCGGACGACATGTGAAGACATCGGATTTCCGCCATGGCTGCCATCAATTCGAGCACCACATGTTATTTTGCGGCAGAAAATCTGGTGCGCGGAACGTGAACTGACCGCCTAGTCACTGTCGTTCAATGCCGTGAATGGAGGTTTCAATGAAAGAGAAAGGATTGGCCACTCAACAACATGTGAATTCATTTGGTGGCTAATGCGTCCCAAACACACCGCACATCCATCAAGCAGATGGTACAAGGGCACAAGTTCTCCCATTTGTCTTGTTTTGGTATGCAGTGTTTTTTTGCGCGTAACGTGATAGTTTGAGTCAAGCTCTGAAAGTGCCAGGCACAACCGAAGCCATCCGAAGGGATCGATGTCCCGGTGCCAATGTGGATGCCTGAACTGGTGGCATGGGCAACGTTGAGATTTTGGAGATTTGGAAGATATCCCATGAATGTCAGCGAAAAAGATGCGTGTATGTCTACACGCAATGTTGAGAGCACTTTGTGTCTTGTTTTTCTAAAATCCAGTTTGCCAATCTACCCACTGGCCACCCTATGGCAGGAACTGCCAATGATCTGAAGAGGAATCCTATGTGGCTCAAATCTGCTACTGTACCTCAAGTGATTGTGGAACTGGGAGCTTGCCGTTTCACTCAGCTGCCTCTGAGGCCAGTCACAATCAAGGGCTTGTCGAATGAACTGCAGGCAGAGGCTCCAGCTTTTGGCCGGGAGAACGTGAGACGCAGGGTACCCAGTGGGTATCCAATGGATACTCGATGGATATACAATGACTATGCGATCAATATGCCATAAATAGCCAATTGATATCAAATTGGTTGCTCAGCCCAATTTTTGACCCTTTTTATGGTGTGGGATCGCAGATCATGTCCTACATGAGCAGGCTACCCCGAGCCCACCAGAGGCACACAGCACCCGAAGTGTGGTCAAGGGGCGGAGTGTGATATGTATCATCTGCCGATGTACATACTGTTGAAGTAGAATATATGAAATACAGTATATGGGATGCATATTGTGTACTATACTCGTACGTAGTATATACAGTATACATAGTATTAATATGTATATATACATGGTATACACAGTAGACATAGTAGACATAGTATACATAGTGTACATAGTATACATAGTGTACATAAAGTACATATTACGGGCAAACAGAAAAATGCGCAGGAGGCACTCTCACAACACTGCAAAATGTGGGTCATTCTGGCATTCCTGAAAAGCTCAGGCAGGGAACCTGTGCATCTTTGCACAAGTCATCCTGAACCCTACGACCCTAAAAACTCTAACCCACTCAATCCTCAACCCGACGCCCTAAACCCCAAAACCATGGAAACAAATCAAAGGTAAACCCTAAACACCTAAACCCTAAAACCCTAATTCTTGAACCCTAAAACCTTCTAAACCTAAAAGCAATGTTGGGCGAAACGAGGCGTATAAATCAGTATAACTAGTATAAAGAGTAGAACAAAAACAATCAGCATAACTAGTTGAACTAGTATAAAGAGTATAAAGAGTCTAGAGAGTATGAAGAGTATAAAGAGTATAAAGAGTATACATAGTAGAACTAGTATAAAGAGTAGAACTAGTATAAATAGTATAAATGGCAAACATAGTATACATTAGTAGTATATATATATAGTGTAAACGGTATAAATAGTACAGTATAAATAGTGTAAACATGATATATGGATAGTAAGCATAATACACGCAGTATGGATAGTATGGATAGTATCCATAGTATTGCTATTAAGTATACCTACTTACTATATATAATATATATATATACTACAAGCAGGTATGATTAGAGTATATCCATATAGATGTAACGGGATACATTTTTCCAATTTATCCATCAGTCAAACGATTCAATGCAGGCCCTTTGTTGCTGTTTCAAGTCGAGCAGGGCAACTTCAACCACTTGTTTAAATCGCGTGTGCCTTCAAAAAATGCATTTTATATTGCGGAGTGTTAAAGAACTACAATTGAAGAGTTTTTTCATATGGGTCCTGCATGAGTTTAGGGAGACTTCCTGCGAGGTGTCCCCAACCCTTCAATCTAGGAACTTTATGCTCACACAGATAGCTGCAGACAAGTTCGCTGCCAAGGGTCTTCAAATGCCATGGCGCTTGAAATGAATGCAAGATCAGTGAACTATTTCCACAAGTTTCTGAAGCGAGTCTCAAAGAGATTTCCCATTTGAGCACTGGCGAAAACCGTCAATGTTTGATCAATGTTGATTGCTCACAGATTGCTCACAACTGAAATGGACCAAACCATGTCACAGGATTTCCACCATATTTTTTGCTTCGGATCTTCCAGCGCCTCGAGGGCGAGGCGGAGCAGTTGAGCTTCCCGCGAAAACCAAGGGCTGCCAAGCCGGGATCCATTACCTTCAACATGCAGGTGCCAAGCGGGGAAACTCAATGGAATTGGGATGCTGAAGCCACAGATATCAATGGTATCAATGGTATCAATGGAGATGAGAATGGAACCAACGTTCCTAAAGAAGTTGGAGCAGTTACATGTTGGTTTGGTGGTTTCAAGATGCATTGAGGATTTGAACCCTTGCCTTGCAAAAAATGTTTATGGAGGGCAGGTGATTTGGAACTCTTCGCGGGAGCGAGATGGGAACAGGTCGGTTTCCACTACCCTGGAGTGATAAAATAGGGTTGTTTGACCGTAGTGTTTTTTCCACGCGACGCTGACATTAGAACATGATGTCAAGAGTCAAACCTGTGTCACACTTGCGCTGCCTTTATCAAAGCACCACGGCATGTCACGAATTTGATGGTTTTAGCAGGTGCAATTTCGAACCTCAGAAGAAAACTTACAGGGTGTTGCCCCTCTGCCAAAGTCGACTTGAATTATAGCAGTCCCTTCCCCATGCTATGACCCCTAGAAACACTCTGGTTAAGTATTGGTTTTGTTTATTGTGGGGGCTGGGATTACAAAATATCACAACCTGACCTTGCTCAAAGATTTCAGCCTTGAGCATCTGTTTGTTGCAATTTTTACAATCAGCTGTGCCTCAACCGTCGGTGATTTGGCCAGGGTGCACAGAAGGCAATGGCTGCTGCTCGCACAAGAGTTCAGGCAACGGGGGCAGGAGGTTTTTCAGTTTCTCATTCCGGCCACACAGAATGGCCACAATTGAGTGCTTCCAATTGAGCTCTCAGAGCTCCCTCTTCACAGATTTTCGATCTGACTATTGTGTTGAAAATGGATGAAATCGATTGGTATGTATATGTCAAAGAAAAACGAAAATCGACTATTGTTTTTTATATATTGCTATAGATGTTTTCCATCAAATGTTGGAGAATCACATTAGATTTCTCTGAAGCCTCAATAAGAACTTCTCCCAGGTGCAGACTGCGGTTGAGGCCGCCAAAGCGAAGCGTCCAGTGCTGAGATGGAACTACCCAATGGGATTTTGGTGCTGTCAATTCACTGCATAAACCGTATCATCATGGAGTATTTCAATGTAATCATTGATGGTACTATATATGATTAATATTAAATATCATTAATGCAGGAAGGATTCGGTTCCGTTCGGTCCAGGTAGGAATCGGTTCGGTTCCCGTCGCGCGCTAATCGAAGAACGGCTCAGAACAGCAATTCCCTTTGGGCATGACATGGCATGTTCCGCATTTGTTTTGTTAGGATCCGGCACCGGCTTTGTGACGTTGATTTGCCTTCGGTGTGATTTTGGTGTCAGTTTCTATAGTTCGTTTTTCATGAGCAAACGACGATAATTTAAGTATTTTCGTCGGATTTGTGGCTGTTTTGAGTTCGTTTGCGGAAGCGTCTCTTGTCTTCCATTTTTAATAGCCGTGCTTCATGAGTGAACGAAGACGAGTTTGACACTTTGCCGGGGTTTGTGGCTAGTTTGGGCTCGTTTGGAGAAGCATCTCTTCCATTTTTTTGGTCCGGTCCTGCAATCCAAAAAGAGGGTTGTTGAGTCAGTGATGGTCGCGCAATTCAGCTCACATGATGCCGTTCTGTTGGCTATGGCGGTGCCCATGCCTGGGTGAAAGATATTGTTGGAGGATTGGGCGTAAGACATTTTGGCGGATGGAGACGTAAGTGGTAAGCTTGCTGCATCGCGCCATTTTTATCCATTTTTCTGTTACATCCCATGTTGGTGTGACTGGAATTTGCGTAATTGCCTTGTCAAGGCACAGTCACTTGTGGACTTGTGGAAGTGTTTGCGCGCGCGGCTCTAGTTTTTTTAATTTTGTGTGGGGGTGGCTGATAAGATCCCTAGATTTCACCTGGATGGTGGGAGGGCCTCTCTTGGTTTTAGGAGCTGAGTGTGTCGGTGGGCCTGTTTCGGCCTGTGGGAGCTTTTTTCCCGAATGCGTAGCGAAGGGCTCTCGTTTTACTTTTGGGGGTTGGGGTGGACCCGTGTTGGGCCGACGCTGCTTTTGTGTTCGCAACCCCTCGTGAGCGGTAATCACGGAGTTCTCATTGAAGTTATTACCTTTTCTGCCCAGTCGCTGCGGCGTGCCATGTCCATGCCCACAGTCGATCAGACGCACCTGCGCGCCTGGCTGGAACAGTCTATCCTGATCGCTCTGGCAAGCATGGGGCCCTCGGCCAGGCACGACACGCTGCTAGTAATAGGTCGGATTTGCAGCAAGGTGGCCAGCTTTGCTGGCGCCCTTGCGCGGCTTCCACTTCGAGGCCGTCCAGGATGTCTTCACGGGCCTTGGCTTATGGATAGCCCACGGGGGGTATGACCTAGTGGAATGCAGTGCAGAACTGCTGCAAATCGAAGCCGCGAAGGCAAGTCAGCAAGCCAAGCCATGCAGGTGTTGTGGTATCGCAATTTCGTGACTATGATACTGTATCGCAGGAACCCTGACGAGTTCGACTTGCAGGACTGCATTAGTGACCACGACAAGTGGTCCGCGCTGCGCTCATACTTAGCAGCTAACTCCAAGGTGGATGAGATCCAATGCATTTACCTCCACGAAGTGCTGCAGGACCTCCTCACCGTGGCTACGGACGCGGTGGCGACCTTAGAGGATCGAGCCGTGGAGGTCGTGCCGATACGTGCGCGTCGTCGAAGATGAAAGGACGCGGTGAAGGAACAAGTCAGTCAGAAGTTCAAGCAAAGCCTTGGGCTGCTGCATTTTTGCTTCGCAATGCGGGGTGTCTCCATGCCATTTCACCTTTTGCCTGTTGATGCCGCTAAAAGGACGTCTGCCTTCAAAGCACGTTGCGGGATTGGTCGCAGAGCCGTCCGCTCATCCCAGTTTTGGGCTTTGCTTTCCCCTGGATGCTGCACATGCGCGCCTTGCAGGAAGTTGTGGCGTGGCGCGCCGGGCCTACTGGCTTTTACATCCTCGAGGTGCGGGAACAGCAGGGAAGCAAGTGAAAGACGTGTTGTTTTGGAAGCCGTCGCACATAAAGGGGGCCCCTTCCCACTGCACCGCTGCCGCCGCAGGACCGCGACCGGAAGTGCTATATAAAAAGTGACCCGCGGCAAAGACCGCAATCGTCGCCTCCTACAGTGGCCGGCCGGCAGTCAGTCGCAGATCGTATGGGAAAAAGTAAGGGCTTGCAACGGGCGCGCGCGTGCGTGAGTTTCAAAGCATATGCTTGAGTAGTCTGCGGTGCCTACAGAAGGGTCTTCTGCCAATATTTAAAAATACAAAAAAATACCAAAAATACAACCCCAAAATACAAAATCAGAACTGCAGGGTTTGGGAAATACAACTGGTTGGTTTTGTATCTTTTTTGCAATTTGTTTCCTGATTTCCACAGTGAACACGGGGTTGGCTCTCTGGCTTATTTTTGAATTTGTCTTTTCTTTGTATTTTGTTTTTTTGAAATTTTTGGTTTGTATTTTTTTTTTGTATTTTTGAAATTGTTGATTCGTATTTTTTTTTGTATTTTGTATTTTTGAGCAATTGCATTCGTATTTTTTTTCGTATTTTTTGGTATGTTTTCGTTTTTTTTTGTAAAAATAAAAAACGAAAAATACAAATAAAATACAAAAAATACACTTTGTATTTTTGTATTTTTTATATATATTTTTCCATTACGTCCAAAAATGCAATTTGTATTTTTGTATTTTTTTGTATTTTTCCAGTCCTTCACAGATTGCACTTTGTCCCTTTTGTATTTTTTCGTTCTTTAGACATGCCGTCAAAGAACAAAACCGAATCCATCAATGTATGTTGTATTTTCTTTTGTTGATGATTTTTCCTCATCATTGATGTATTTTTTTAATTTGGAGTTGTATTTTTTGTTATTTTGTTTGTATTTTTAATGATTACAGGGTTCACAGTCTGTAGCAGACCCCCGACTACTCAAGCATATGCGAAGCAACCGCTTGCAAGCGGTCACGATGCGCCGTTGGCTGTCACTTTGGCGAGTGCTGCAAAAGTGTTCACTTTTGGAGGTTTCAAACGTTCGTTTTCACTTTCCAGGGGAGCTTTTTTGGGTTCCCCACGGCCTTGGTTTAGGTTGACAAAGTGGTCTCGTTATTAGGGCCTCCCATGAATTTTGAACGCCACCACAGTCGAGGTGGACAACGGCACTGTGGGCAAGCGTCGGGCGTATGATGGGCTTGCATAGGGCCAAGTGCATTGCCCGACACAATCAGCTTGGTTGCCGCCGCATTTGGTGGGATGGTTTGGCCGGAGGATGTAGAAGATGGGGAGTTGGCTGCTACTTATTTTGTCACATCACGCTCCCGCATCTCAGACGGGGAACCGTCCAGTTCCATCTGCAAGAGCGTTCCAGGAGAGGATTTTGGCACGCCCAAGGCGTGGAGTTGTTCTACACCTTTGGTCTTCCATGGTGATCGACAACCTTGCTGTTTCTTTTGGAACCAAGGATGCCACTGTGCAGATGCCAGTCTTGGCGTACATGTCGCCAGAGGCTTGGGCACGTTTGCTTTTGCCTGATGAGGCCCAGAAGGTGGAAGCGTTCATCGATCCGAATTATGCCGCGGAGGTCTTGGTGGAGCGGGCTTTGGAAATGTTTATGCTGACGCAAGACGCGCGGGATATGTGTTTCTGAGGGGCCATGATTCATGTTATTTTAAGGAGCGCATGATCTTGTTCTCTCCTTCTCGTTCTCTTCGCTCTCTCCTTCTCGTTCTCTTCGGTCTCTCCTTCTAGTTCTCTTCGGTCTCTCCTTCTCCTTCTCTTTGGTCTCTCCTTCAAGTACTTCTTGCTCTCTGTGGTCTCCCCTTCTCGTTCTCTTCGATCTCTCCTTCTTGTTCTCTTCGGTCTCTCCTTCTCGTTCTCTTCGCTCTCTCCTGCTCGTTCTCTTCGCTCTCTCCTTCTTCTCGTTCTCTTCGATCTCTCCTTCTGGTTCTCTTCGGTCTCTCCTTCTTGTTGTCTTCGGTCTCTCCTTCTCGTTCTCTTCGCTCTCTCCTTCTCATTCTCTTCGTTCTCTTCATTGTCTTCGTTCTCTTTGTTCTCTTCGTTCTCTTCGTTGTCTTCGTTATCTTCGTTGTCTTCGTTGTCTTCGTTGTCTTCGTTGCCCTCCTTATCTTCGTTGTCTTCGTTGTTTTCGTTGCCTTCATGGTCATGGTCTTCGTTGTCTCCGTTGTCTTTGTTGTCTTTGTTGTCTTCGTTGTCTTCCTTGTCTTCCTTGTCTTCCTTGTCTTCGTTCTCTCCTTCTCCCCTTCTCCCCTCCTCCGTCTGTCTCTCTCTCTCTCTCGCTCTCTCTCTCGCTCTCTCTCTCTCTCTCTATCTCTATCTCTCTAGAGCCCCTCCAGCCGTGCGAGCGGGCGGGCAGTGATTCATGTGTATGGGCTGGAGGAACACTTTTTCAAGGCTTTTGTGGCGCAACGTGTCGCTCAAAATGTTTCCGAATAAGCTCATCCCGGAATATTTGGTTCCTGATCGGTTCTGGGGGTTCCGATGAACTGGCCGGTTGGGTTCCTGGCTCGGCTCCCGGTTCAGTTCCGCGGCCTTCCTGTTAGTGGTATATCAATGTATATCCTTTTATAGCATGCAATGGATTGTATGCCACGATATACTTGCTGGCGTACCGCATGGCATTGTTAACGCATGCTACAGCGGTATTGTCCCACAATTCTTCCCACATGTGATTCGGAAAAATAACAGTCTCCTAGCCGTCAGAAGCAAAACATCAACTGCAGTAATAAATATATCTCTCAACACACACACACACCTTTCTTGTACAACAGATTGTATAGAAAGAGTGTTTGGTATTGTTTCGTGGCCTTTGGATATCAAGTATATCTTAGATATTGCCGCATTTTTGCCACCGCAAAAATCCATGATGGCACCTCCAAAGCGCCGCCTGTTTAGTGTCTTAGGCCTGAACGTCAAAGATGCCGCGACGCAGACTGTTCGAGATCCTGAGCGGCAGGCAACCCATTTTTGATCCCATGACTTTGGGTCTGTCAATCCCAAAATGCCCATTAATCCATATGAATCAGTATGAATGAGTATGAACCCATATCGATACGTATCAACCGCGTGGTTCAATCTTTTCCAATCTAGCACTTTTCAGCCGTGGATGTTCACTTGTTTTCGCACACCCCAAATGAGGGGGAAAAACCGCACATATTCACTTTCGTCAACGTGTCCGCAGGATGGAGACATTGTGACCATCTGGCGCTTGAGACCGCGAGGTGCGTTTGTGGTGGATGTTACTGTGGAGACCCTTCCTGATGTTTCCTGTTTCTTGGACAGGGATGGAGTCCTTCCCACACTTCGCGAAACAGCCAAAGGCAGGGCCTGGCTGCAGGTTTCTTTGCTGGTATCATCATTTGATCAAGTGAGTATATGTAAGTTCTCGAACAGAAAAAATCCCGTCATCACTTTCCAGTGATGCTTCCCCATTTGATAGCGATCTTTTGGTGGCTGCATTTCTTCATTGACCAAAAATTTGAAGATCTGTGCAAACCTCCAGGATTCATTGCGCGCGGCTCAGTGGCTCAGGTTGGAAAGCGTTCCAACACCAAAGACTTGGAGGTGAGACTCTGCGCACCTTGGGGCCCCTGGTGCAGCTGAGATTCCGCAAGGGAAATGCTCAAAAAAGAGCCAAGAGCTCATTGCAATTGATGGGAGAAGTTAAAAATGTTCGCCATCACCCAATTACACACGCAACTGCGCCTTAGAGAGGCTTATGAAAGTTGAACAGGAGAGGTACATCCACAGGACGTGCGGCACCGCCACCCCGAGAGTTTCAGCCTGGCACAGGCCGAGGTCAACGTGGACCCCAGAGATCCCAGCGAGAGGAGGGCAGGGATTTACGGATGTGCCATGGTTGAAACTTGGGTGATGCGTCCATGTTGGGGGTGTTTGCAGGCTTTATAGATCCATGAATACAGACCTATGAATAGGGGATTCCCACTATGGAATGAACATAGCTGATATACCACCTTTTGACCATGGCAGATATAACATCTGGGAATTTGACTAGGTGATCCCTGGTGGTTGACAGTTGTAGTTATTTTATGGCCGAAGGAAGTTTAGAAGTCAAACTTCCGACAATATGTACAGATGAAAAGCAGAGATGGGAAGAGTCAGAGAAGAGAAGAGAAGAAGAACGAAGATCAAAAAAGAGAAAGTCTCAGAAGAAAGAAGATCCAGGTGCGCGAAAAGGTAGGAAAGTCGCGAAACACTGTGTTTTTCCAATGGTTTGTAGCTCTGGAGGGTTGAAAAGTAGGCTTGCTAAAGCGGCGGGTGCGGAGCCATTTGGTCAGACGAGAGATGAAGAGTTGCACGCCGTTCTGGCGCGAAGATGCGCGAAGCACATTTCCAAGTCAAAATGTACAAAGCACCCTAGCTTCGGAGCACTTTTACAAGTCCACGCCTGCTCCATTTTTAAAAATGCTACGAAGCCCTCACGTTTTCTCACTTTTGACACAGTGCACAATCCCTGCGCCTGCCACGCGAAACGACATCTGAACGTCGTGTTTTTCACATTTTGACTTGGAAATGCGCGCTTCGCGCCACAACTGCGTGCACTTTTTCGACATCTCATCTTCCAAAAGTGGTCTGAGCTTTTGTAATTTTGAGTTCGAAACGTGCTTCGCGCCACAACGGTGTGCACTTTTTCGACGGGACATTTGAAGAGGATCTGCAAAGATACATTTCCGTGGCAGGCGCAGTACAAGAGACATGTTCATCAGAGATGTTAGGCGGTCCGGGCGCTGATTTCCTGAGAGGGGTTGCATTTTGGAGCATCAGATCTTCAGGTTTGCTGAGATGATTTTGCGTTGACAGGTGCAGCACTTCGTATGACCTGGCATCACTTTTTCCTGGCAGGCGCAGTACTTTAGGCAGTACTTTAGACAGGTGGAGTAGAAAAATCGCAAAACGCATTGGTACGAGGCCGTCAGCTCTGCACTCAACTTTCCATTTTTGAAGGAAGTCTCGCAGAATTGTTTCGTTTTTGATGTTGTCAAGTTCAAAAGTTGAGGAAGTCTCGCAGAAATGCTTCGTTTGTGATGTTGTCAAGTTACAATTGCTTCGTTTTTTGGATGTTGCCAAGCTCAAAAATTGAGGAAGTCTCGCAGAATTGCTGCGTTTTCAAGCTTGCAGTTAGACAGACAGACAGACAGAAAGACAGGCAGACAAACAGATAGGTATATAGATAGATAGATAGATAGACAGACAATTACAACTACAACTACAACTACAACTACCACTACACTACACTACTGCCACAACTACGAATACAAATATACGACGCTACATTACACTACACTACACTAATTACATCTAATTACGCTACACTACGCCAATTACACTAACAACTACAACAACTACTACTACCACAACTACAACTACAATTACAACTGCGCTACACTACACCACACTAATTAATTACACTGCAGCACACTACAACTACAAATACAACTGCAACTACAACCGCACTACATTACACAACACTACGCTACACTGATTACATTGCATCACACTACAACTACAAGTACAACTGCGGCTGCAAATACAACTACAACCACAACTACAACTACCACTACATTACACTACGCTACACTACACTACCCTACCCTACACTACATTACACTAGTTACACTGCACTACGCTACAACTAGAACTACACTACCTTACACTAGGCTACACTACACTATCCCACACTACACTACACAACACTACACGACATTGCACTGCACTACACTACACTAATTACACCACACCACGACTACAACTGCAACTGCGCTTGCATCTACACTAGTTACACTACATTACAACTACAGCTCCACTACACCACACTACAACTACAGCTACAACTGCAACTACAACTGCAACTGCACTACACCACACTACATCCAGCAGTTGTGGTAAGGTGACCGCTGCAACCATTGCAGCCACTCCAAAAAACACAGCTCCAACCACCTGTCGGTCCATCAGTCGATTCGCTCTGCCATCCGTGATTCACAACAACCAACCTCTCTCCTATAGGTTTCCTATTTTTGAAACTTCCGCCACCGCCTTGTGCGGAACTGCTGGTATTTTTATGTTATTATCATGGAGTATCATGGGAATCATCAGAAAATCACTAGCATCAAGAGATGGGTGTGCGTTGAGCATTCAGGACCCTGGTAATAGTTGGTCATGTCTAGTGGTAAATCATGGAATCTTTGGAGAATCCAGTTTTGACCCATTATCACACCTTTCGGGCAGTGGAGCGTGTTGACTCCCGAATTGCACGGTTGAAAGAGGATGGCTGGCAGGTGTAGACACTGTAGACAGCCTGGAAAAAAGGCCAAAAACAGACAAACTTTCTCCGGGCAACCTCAGTTTTGCTCATGCCGGAGGAAGCGGGCACGGACCATTGCGGCGGAGGTCAAGGAAGTCTCCATCGATGTCGGAGGTACCAATTGGGCCAGACACATTTGTTGGAAATCACATATGATCAATACATCGTCGTACAGGAAACAAAATCTGAAACTGAGTGCCTGTTCTCAAGGCTTTGACACGCAAGATTCAACCCTTGTTAGGATTCAATCTTTTCGGCCTGACTTGTTCCTGGAAAAGCTTCCTTGGCGCTCGGGCTATTTGCATGATCAACCACGATGGAGCGGGTGAAGGGGTACTGATGGGTACTGTTTACTAAAGACACAGGGTTCTGCAAAGTCAACAGACGACGTATAGGACCTGGGCCTTCATCTGTGGCCGAGTTTGTTTATCTGACTTCCAACTACTTGTAGTTCCTGCCTCCTCAGCAGTTTCTTGTTTGGATTCCCTCAAAAGTGTCTCTGTGCCCTCTTCTGTGGGGGGTTCGTTCAATCAGTCTTGGTGTTGCAAGCCGAAGGGTAATGTTAGAGGAGAAATACAACGGCCTTTTGACCTCGGATTGTGATCTCATGTGGAAATCCTTTCATCCATGTCTATCTGAGAATCTATCTGATCTATCTGTTTATTACATGTGGCTTCACGAGTTTCAATGCTCTCGATGAAGATCCGAAGATCATCTCTGTTCTGAGGATTTGCTTTAAATCAACCTGCCGTTTGGCGACATTTCAGCGACCAACGCCCCATCAAACCTCTCACCGAAGCCGTCAGGTGATGATACCGGTGAGCTCAGTGGAGGCCGCTGCAATAGTGGGCATAGTGGGCACAGTTAGTACCTGATTACAACTGGTTATGAATCTTTATTTTATAGATGTTTTTATGGATCATACATTTAGTATATAACGTTTAAATGGCTGTATATTCATCATATTATCACCATCTACATGAGATTTCGCATAGAATTGTCATGACCTACTTCGGGCTGGATAGGTAGCTGGCTACTATCTGCTGCTGGGAATTGGACATTGCGCATATTCTGCTTCAAATTGCATGTGGACATACGTGGACCATCCTGGATCATTGCTGTGGCATTTGTTGCCGCGGCGGTTGCTGGTCAGGTGAGGCCATGTTTGACCCGTACCAGACCACTTTTGATGAAGTGGCACCAGATGCTGCTGATTGAGCCATTCCTATTTAGCAAACACGAGGGTTGTTGAAGGAACACAAGTACTACCCATATAAGTTCATGGATGGCATGTAATTATTTGGTCCTTCGAAGTGATCTTCTTTTTTTGACAGAAGATGAAGTAGAGTGGAAATATCCTGAGCATCCCTCGAGCAAGGCCATGAAAACTGGATCCCTCATGTTTGTGTTTGGAATGGACTAGCTGACTAGCGAGCGAAGCGCTGGACCATGAGTTCGTGCGTAGTGCAGCTGGAAAAATTGCTTGCTGACAGACAATACTGGGGCTCAGTGCGTTAACTCTACCAACAAAAATCCAGCAAACATAGTCATGGCTGCAGTCTATCGTTTTTCGCAAGCTTCGCCTTGGAACGGCAAGCCAATTTATATAATTTATGTACACTGAAAGGTTATATAAGTATCTGAATTAAATAGTCGATCGTTTTCAAGACCTCCCACCACTTCGCCAATGCCGTCTGTTGATTGGGCTTTGATGCTCTTGCTTGGAGAGGAATCTTAATTTATGTCTTTCATTGGATGCTTTGCGACATTTTGGTCCAGCCCATGCTCATGAAAGAGGGGAATGACAAGGAAAAGGACAGAGAGATTGGCAACAGACACCCTCCTAACCATAATCACGATGAATCGCAGAACTGAATGGTCACCCACAACAGCCACACATACCCAACAAAATGGTCGCAAAGAGATTTCTTGCCACAAAATTAGCCATTGCCACATTCATTGCCATTGTCTCTTGCCATTGTCTATTTGAATCTCTTTGATTCTTCCACAATTTGTGATGAGCTTCTGGTCGAGGCATTTACAGTCCACTTTAAGGCGCCATGCAGCCTTGGGGTCAGTTGAGATCCTTAGACTATCTTAGACTGGTAGGGGTTGGCATCAAACAAACTGTGGGACTTCTGACTTCCGAATACTTTCTCTTCTCTTATCCCATTGAACTTCATTGAACCGATTCAGACAGAAATCTCAATATGATTTGGACTGATGTTTGACTTCTCAGTGCAGGTAGCCCCGCCCAAAGTGCCGGACGGCAGTAGCTACAATGGAGGCCGGTAAGATGTTGGAGCCATCATGATCGGCACGTCCATTGTCCAGCGTGATTGCACAGATCTCCAGCCTTGATGAGTCAACATGCCTGCAGGCAGTGGGGAACATCATCTTGAGTTTACATCGAAATTTGCAAGAGATACAGAGCTCACTGGCCAGTGGTGTCCAAGCTGCATTTTTACTCATGAATTGGTCCATGTTGATTGAAAAGTAGATGCCAATCAGGCACGAAGACTCTGTAGACCATTGGCACAACACATCTGCATTTCCCGTCATTTTCCTGGACAAGTTCCATTCATCCGGAAATATGACACATACAATTTACAATTGCTTCACTTGGTTTAACATATATTATATACACTCCAAAAGGCAACGGAACCTGAAAGATCTTGTGTCGGTGGAATTGAAAGGAGACAAGTCAACAGAGGGATGTCAGACGCTCGAGAACTCTCGAAAGTGCACGAAACAGTCATACACCCCCTACGTTCTCTCCTTACAAATCATTGTACAATATTCCAAATTCAGTCGCTGAGGGACGACAGAAAATCGTGGACGCGAGCTTTTGCTGGGAGTTCTCAGTGGGGTTTCATTTGTGCAGACCAGTGCAGAGAAAGATGAGAAAGCCGCTGAGTCACCCACCTGATTGGGATATCAAAAAATTCTTCTGCATCTCTGCAGGTTGGGGGGGGTGCTCCGCTTTCCTCAACGGAGCGATAAAAAACACAGCGAGGCAAAGCACCATTGACCGGGCAGAGGCGGCCCTGAGGGCACAGGCACAGTGTCCCGGTGGCGGAGCTGCTCAAGTTCGATCGTTTCAGGAGATAATTACCCTGGATATACCACTGGATTATCCTAGATATTTCCTAGATTAATATTTACTGGGATATACATGGATATACCTTGACTCGTGATATTTACTGTATTTTACTGTACTGAGTTTTCGTTTTTGTTGATTTCCAAGGTTTGTAGGACTGTTTGAAGCGCAACTGCCACTAAGTGTTTTCGATGTGTAGACTGCTATGTGCTTCCCGGCTTCCCGCTTATGATTTCCACACCACGATCTCGAAACACCGTCTCAAAATAGGTACTGTAAAGGGTGGTGATTTCAGAATTCGGACAAAAACTGCACTGCTGCTTTCCAGCTGCTTACCATTAGCGTCAACTGCTCATGAATCAAGCCGATCAGCATGTGAGTTCAACATGGATTTGTCGGTTGCGCCTAGAACTTCAAATTCCTATTTATATAGTTCGATCATGAATGCATTCCTGTGAATAGGAACAAATTATTCCTAACCTGTTTGAAGTCTTGGTGAAGCAAACTCAGATTCAGACAGGTTTAGAGGATGGGACCACTTACAGAGGGATCAGATGCCAAGTTAGAGCCATGCATCAGCCGTGGACTCTGAGAAAGAGGCACACTTTGGTACTGCGGATCCATGCTGAGAATTCAGTAGAGTCGAGTAGTATCATTTTCCCGACACCCTTTGGTTTCTTGGTCTGGCTGCTTGCGCTGATGCTTGGAACATTCTGGAAGTCAGCTGTGAACATTTGAAGCTTGGTTCCTTTGGTTCCCATGGCCCTCTGCGCAGGTCCGAAAGCTCAAAGATTGGCAGCGGGCCAGCGGTTTGCAACCGCCACGTAGATCGTGAGCCTGTGAAATCCGAGGAAAATTAGCCAAACTTCAAAGACAAAAACTGAAGTTTAGCCACTAGCCACTGCATATAGTTTCACTTTTCCAATTGTTCAACTCTTCATTTTCTTCGGATTTCCAACGGCAGACCCAGTGGGCATCTCCCAGGATGTTCGGGTTGTTTGGTCGGAAACCTGCGGCACCACCGCCACCTCCAGCACCTGAAGACCCCAATGCACCCCCCCCATTGCCCCCACCTGATGAGCCACCTCCACCAGCTGTGCCATCAGCACCTGCCATCCCAGAGGAACCGCAGGAGCCGCCCAAGGCCCCTGAGGCACCAGTGGAGGGGCCGCCAAGTCCGCCACCCAAGGCCTCAAAGCCTGGCTGGTTCAGCTCCCTCTTCAGCTCCAAACCAAAGGCTCCAGCACCACCGGCCCCGCCAGGCCAGGATGCACCTCAGCCGCCAGGTCCCGAACCTCCTGTAGCTCCGGAACTGCCAAAAGCAATGCCGCTGCCGCCTGCTGCGACTTTGCCGGCGCCCATGTTGCCACCAACCACTTTGCCACCCCCAGCCGCCGCCGCCACCTTGCCAGCTCCAAGCACTTTGCCACCAGCATTGCCAGCACCAATGACCCTACCCCCACCAGCCACACTTGCACCAGCACCCGCACCTGCTCCAGCACCTGCCACCGCGCCAGCCGTGCAAGCGGCTGCAGCTGTGGCCCCGGCCTCACCAGCCCCGCAAGGACCACCCTTGAGCACCTTGGCACCGCCGCAACGTCGGCCAGCACCTTTAGCACGGCGTCCAGCAGTCATGAAGCCCCAAGATTTGGAGGTGCGGTATTGATCATCCTCTATAGTCGTAATTGATGTTGGGTGGTTGCGGTACATACGTACATTCACATAATGTATACATAATGTCATGTAATGTAGCGTAATAATGTCATATCACGTTACGTAATGTTATGTCATACTATGTAATGCTATGTCATGTTATGCAAGCTTATGTCGTGTTATGTCAGCTTATGTCATGTTATGTAAGTTTTTTCCCGAATGTGTAGCAAGGGTTCCCGTTTCACTCTGGGGGTCTGGGGGTTGAGGGTGTGTTCGCTCGACGTTGCGTTTGTGGTCGCAACCGTCCGCAACCGTCCGCGCGAGGACCATATGGCCGTGCCTATGGGAAGTTCTGCAGGAGGGGTCCTTTTTGGCGGTTTCAGACGTGTCGTTGCTTCGTTTCGCGTGGCAGGCGTGGCACTTCGTGACATTCAGTCGTGTTCTGGAACGTGTCGAAAGTCGTTTTGCGTGGCAGGCGCAATACTTTTGCGACGTTGTCAGAAGATGTGTGGCAGTTTTCGTGGCAGGCGCAGCACTTTGGACGCGTCCATCGTCATTTTTCGTGGCAGGCGCAGCGCTTTGGACGTGTCGTGTTGCGTGTGTTTTGCAAATCGCATTGGCAGGGCTGCGTCAAGTGGCGACAAGGTGCAAATTCCGTGGCAGGCGTGGCATTTTGTGCGAGGTGCTGAAAATTGACGGAAGCCTCGCACGAAACATCGATTTTGAGGTTGCAAATTTTCAGGTTTTAAGGAAAACTCGTAGGAAAACGTTGATTTTGAAGCTACAAAGGGTGAAAATTGGAGGAAGTCTCACACGAAATGCTCGTTTTGGTGGGAGCATGGTTTTCCTGTGGCCTCGCCGTGTCAATAGGGGAAGCTGCAAAACTTGTCCTTTTGTCATGTTGCCAACTGTGAAAATTGCCGGAAGTCTCGTAGGAAATGCTGGTTTTTCTGCATCCACGTGTCTTGTCTCGAGTCGCTGGTTTTCCTGTGGCGTCGCCGTGTCTATAGGGGAAGCTGGAAAACCTGTCCTATTCGAATGTGTCCAAGCAGGTTGTCCTGTCGTTTTGCGTGGGAGGCGTGGCACTTTGTGACATTCCAAGCTGTTTGATAACGTGTTGAAAATGTCAAAATTGGAGGAAGTCTCGCACGAAATGCTCGTTTTTCTGCAGCCATTCGTCTCGTCTCGAGTCTCTGGTTTTTCCTGTGGCGTCGTCGTGTCTATGGGGGAAGCCGCAAAATCTCTCCTTTTCGAAAGTTTCCAAGCAGGTTGTCATGTCGTTTTGCACATTTCGGCTGTGCTCAATTGCAAGAGGGCACCAAGCATTCACAATTTACACTTTCGACTCCACACTTTACACTTTACACTCCACACTTTGCACTTTACACTCCTCACTCCTCACTCGAGACTTTACACTCCACACTCTACACTCTACACTTTAAACTCCGCACTCCACACTCCACACTTTACGCTCCGCACTCCTCACTTTACACTCCACACTCCACACTCCACACTTTACACTCCACACTCCTCACTTTACACTCCACACTCCACACTTCTCACTTTGCACTCCGCACTCCACACTCTACACTTTCCACTCCACACTCCACACTCCACACTTTACACTCCACATTCCACAATTTACACTTTAGACTCCTGACTCCACACTCCACACTCTACACTTTCCACCCCACACTCCACACTCCACACTCTACACTTTAAACTCTACACTTTACACTTTGCACTCTACACTCTACACTCCACACTTTACAGTTTACACTCCACACTTTACACTTTACACTCCTCACTCCACACTTTACACTCCACACTCCACACTCTACACTTTACACTCTACACTTTACACTCTACACTCCACACTTTACACTTTACACACTCCACACTCCTCACTCCACAATCCTCACTTTAAGCTCCACACTCTACACTTTACACTCCACACTCTACACTTTACACTCCGCACTCCACACTTTACACTCCACACTCCTCACTTTACACTCCGCACTCCTCACTTTACACCCCACACTCCACACTCCACAATTTATACTTTAGACTCCTGACTCCACACTCCACACTCTACACTATACACTCCACATTCCACACTCCTCACTTTACACTCCACACTCCACACTCTACACTTTACACTCCGCACTCCACACTCCACACTTTACGCTCCGCACTCCTCACTTTACACTCCACACTCCACACTCCACACTCTACACTTTACATCTCCACACTCCACACTCCACACTTTACACTCCACACTCTACACTTCACACTTTACACTCCACACTCTACACTTTACACTCTACACTTTTCACTCTACACTCCACACCCCACACTCTACAATTACAAACTCCACACTCCTCACTCCAGACTTTCCACTCCACACTCCACACTCCACACTTTACACTCCACACTCTACACTTTCCACTCCACACTCCACACTCTATACTTTCCACTCGACACTGCAGACTGGAAACAAGGGAAATATGTACAAGACTGTTCAAATAAACTATTGCATTAACGTACGTGTGAGCATTCGGGTTCGTGGGCTGCATCTTGTTTTTTTTTTAAATACTAACATATACTAACAAAAATAATAATATATAATCATAATGATAATGATAATGATAATAATAATAACAATAATCTATGATAATACATGATGATACATATATATATATGATTTATATATGATACTGTATATGAGCATATGTATGTATATATTTGATTACAATTACGTATATATATACATACATATATATATAGAGTAGTTGCTGAATACGGAATACGATTGGATCCCACAAAGTTAAAAAATCATCCACTCACCACGGCTTTTTGTATAGTTTTGCCATGTTTTGCCACTGACATCCACCGTCCTCAGTCCTCAGCGTGCCAGGAGGCAGTTCAATCGTGGCTATCGTTGTGGCAAGATTGCCGATGCATTGCGCCAACGCCAGCAGCATCCGGGGCTTCCGGCCAAGAAGCGGCACGGCTCTTTGCAGCTTGGCCATGGATTGGAGATAGACTGGAGATGGGGATCCTACCCCGTTTGGCATGTTGCTTCAATTCATCATGTTGCTGGCAATTCCACCCCTAAAACCAGATTGAGGATTCAATCGCTTTGCAAGAGCTACTTGAAGTAGAGTTTGGGATTCTAGATGCAGTCATAGCATAGGTTCTTCGGAACAAAGTCAGAAGGAAGACCAGTTTTTGCTGAAAATGAGTCCATGATAGTCCATGATTAAGCACTTTTTGCAGCGATTTGCACGGTACCTCGGGCGTAATTTCTGGTTGAGGTTCTCCGACTGAGCAGTCTGGCGGAGGCTGAGGTTGCTGACCGCAGGGAAATGGGGTTGCAGAGGCTGCCGTAAATGGCTGAGATTGGCTGAGAAATCCTGAGGCTTAGAGGAAAAAGGTGGAAACACATTTGCCAAAGAGTGGATGATAGGATGTGAAAGGTGCAATTTTCTTTTTTCTACGTGTTTGACTTCTTCCGAGTTTTCGGGCTATCGAAGATGCCCCACGAGCCAACTGCAGGTGCCTATCTCTGCAAATGGCACCTTGCAAAAGCCTGGAAGCTCACTTGGGAAGCGTGGGCGGTGCATAGGTGTGTGCATGATGTGGGTTCGTCTGAAAATAGGGTGCCACATGGTACCACCAAATTTCATGATTGATGGCTGTTGATTCTCATTTCCCCATGAACATGGCATAACATGGCAATTGTATGCACTTTTGGATAATTTTGGGAGATTCTGATATTATATACGTAAATTTCAGAGAAACCCATACGGAGTAGCAAGAGTTGTTGGATGAGGCCCTGCCGCGACCAGGAGGTCAAAGACCGGAGTCAGAAAAAAGGAGGTTGCTGTTTTTTTCCTCACAGTTGACAAACATCTCCAGATGTCTAGAGGATTCTGGCGATTCCATCTATGAATGATGATCCATGATGATCCTAGATGTATGGTTACTACATTGTTGACATGTTGCTACAATTTCAAGCCTGCAGAATCAGAGGATGTCTCCACAAACCTCCCAGGCAAGCCCTCGCTCGCTTGGCGCGAGCTGCAGAGGAGGAATCCCCTGAGGTTCGTTGGTGGCAGATCCAAATGGATTTCCCATATTTTCCAATAAGAATTTCTATGATTTTCTACTACTGAATATTTTGTGATATTTTACTCATCTAAATACTCCTAAATGGGTCCCATGGGAAGGGTATTTGATTGCGATTTCTCATGCAATTCAACACATTCAATCTTTTGTGGGAATCTGGGATCTGTGATAGGATTCTAATAGGATCTGTGATATGAACAGGTTTCGCATCCCAAGTCTTTGGGGAGTGACTCGAGCTGCCTAGAGCTATTCAGATCGTAAACAGCATTATTTCTATGATTATTTCTATCATTAATCTGTTGAAGTTGGCACTTTGGACATCAAGCATGCTTCTGTCATGCGGTATCTTGGTTGAGAGTTGTTGGAGGTGTTCGGTGTCACATTGCAGGCGCTGTCGCTTCACATGCGTCTCTCCTTTCTCCACACGCCACTGGGAGGCAGGTCAGGCACTCAGTGTCAGACTTGTGACATTTTGTGACTATGGACACAGAATCTGCAGGTCAACTTCCAACGAGTTTCCAACGAGTTCTCGTATCATGTCGTAGATACTATGGCCATCATTTTACCATTTCGTAGCTTTTCGTAGCCTACCAGTCGTTGCGCCGTATCTTGCAGTGCATTCAGCCAAGGCCTGAGGTTTATGGTCACAGTTTCACTGGACCTCGACTTCAAATCCAACGGGTCCATTGCTTAGATGAAGGTTTTAGCTGCCTGGCTGTCGGCATAGCAGCTGCTGGTTGCTGATTGGTTGTAGTGATTGACAGCTGAGGCCTATTAGGCTTCTATCATTTGTTGTCTGGTAGTGGGAAATTTAATTCACACATTCATACACTGTGATGTTCTGCCCACAAGGGCTGAACACTGTTTTTGCTCCTGTGAGGTTCAAAGCCGCGTCAGCGGAAGTGAAGGTCACTTGACGGTTTTGGCCTCAAGGAGCAGGTGACTGCAGGGTACCAGGGTACACGTGAAACCACGCAGAAGGAATTTGTGCAACCTGTGTGACTTCTCAATCGGACAACTTGAGGGTGTTCATCAAAGTTGGTTGCCATGTAACACCAAATCTTCACAGACTTTTGAGTAATTGGTTTCCAAATGGACATATTTTCCTTGATGATTGAGCCGGGCCCTGTATATATATATATATATATTATATAGCCTTTATTTGAGTCAAACACTTTGGAGGTTTGGGTGTTTGGGCCGCCAGAAAGTGGGCAGAGAGCTAAGGTGCACGCACTTGTCCGCGATCCAAGTTCGCGACAGCCTATCAATGCTCACTGACCTATGTAATGCATTCTGATAGACAGACTTGCGTCAAACATGTTGGTAGCTTGAATTTTTGTGGTCTGAAAAGAGCCTAGGCTCGTGCCATTTGCAGCACCACAATCAGTTTTGAAAGGTCTACAGCTGTGAGGCTCTTCCCAAAAGAGCTTTAGCTTCACCAGTCGGGCCCAAGGCAGAGCCACCGACGCTGTTCTTTTTCCGCTCAGCCATCACCAGCCCAAAACCTCAGATGGATCTTGAAATAAAGACCACCGAGAGATCGTTCTAGATAGGATGAAGAAGAGATGCACAGCACACCTATCAATCCCGATCAAGAATGTGTTGCCTTTGAAGTTAAGATACAAGACTCTGCCACCAGTCCAATTGTGCTTGCCGCCGTGCTATGCTGAGGCAAAGAATTGCGAATCCTTGTGGAAGTCCTGGCGTTCGAGGAGCGAGACTGCTTCGAAGAAAATGATGAAGGCAGCAGAGCCAATTGTTCTCAGGACATGTTGGGTGCCTACAGAAGTGATCATTTTTTTCAACCACAGCGCCACACCTGCAACAGCAGGAGCCTCCAAGACAAGCAACGGCTGCAGCACCAGCAGTCAACAGGACAGATTGAATCATTGTTGTTGCTGTGACAGTTGTGCTTTCGTTCTTCTCCTTTTTATTCCAACATGTTTGCGTGTGTCTAAAGAGTTCCGTCCATGAGATGCATGCTGAAGCCCGTAGCAATTCAATCAAAGTGTTTTCAGAACACGAAGCTGCACTCTGGTGGCACCCGCTTTATGCAGTTTTTTCCCCCGAGGCTTTGGAAGCTGGCAGCTCCAAAAGCCAAGGCCAAACCCAAGGCCGCGCCTAAACCCAAGGCCAAGGCCAAAGCATTGCCTGGGGCCCCTGGTGCCCCTGAGCCCAGCCTGGACATGCAGAAGGCCTACAAGGCAAGGGCTGCGGCACCAGGGGGTCGCGCAGCATCCTCCTGGCCCTTGACGGGTGGACGCTATCCCCTACCACTCTTTGGCGATGCGGAGCCAGAGTGTGTGCTGGGATGGGCCATGATCAGCTGGGCCACTCAGGGCAGTGCTGTGTGATGCTGTGTGCATTGTGGCTATTGTGTGCATCCTGATGTGACTGATCAAGGTCGCAATCTGGTTCGTCCATGTTCATCCCTGAAAAGCCACATAGACAGCGGCCAAACATGGATTTTCAACCAAACTTTAAGCCACACCAAAAATGACATTTGGTGCTACCTCAATGCTTTTCCTTGGGTCCTTGGCTTATTCCCAGCCATGATGACAGCCACACCTCTGCTTCCTGGGCCGAGGTTTTGACCTCGCGACGGAGAGCCGCAGCATTCCTTCCAACCACGGGCCCAAGCGGCTGCGCCCTGGCCCCCTGCGAGAACGACTGCTTGCAGCTGAGTTTTTCGGAGGCCGGGAGGGTGTTCAGAGCTGAAAAAGATGGGAAGAGGATGGAAGTGGCAATCTCACGAGTCTCAAGAGGAATTGAAGGGGACCTAAAGATGGTTTAGAATCTAGAATGCAGATAATTGCTTACTTACAAACATAATGTTTGGGATTATCTCCGTTATATAGGCTGTTTTCTATGACCTAGCAGCAGCATGATATTGGTATGGTTTCTGCTCATACATACTTCCTTATTTTCTTCACAAGTCAAGCAATCACCCAATATTCACCTGACAGTCAAGTAGTCAATACATATCAGTCAATACATTGAATACATATCATCATTACAATTCATTATACAGGTTATTTACGCAAGTAGTTCCACTGACAAGGTTTGTCTGAAAATAGGGTGCCCCAAATTTGATGGTTCGTCAATGTTATATAATCATCATTTTCCCTACTAACATCTACTAACATTGCCATTTTGGGGGTTATACAATCCCCCATTTTCATATCCATTTGCAACTGAACCTTTTGGGGCGTGGCCATTCAGCCAGGCAAGGTGACCCCTGCCATGGACCAGGAGATCCATCGCTTGCTGACGCCTCCAACGACAAAGGTGGGGCCCGCAGGGCCCGCAGGGGTCGATGACGGTTCGCAGATGAAGCACAGGGAACATGGTTCCGAAATCCGGAGTGATTTTTCAAGACATAGAAAAAGTTGATGGTGATGATGGTGCTGGATCGTTGTGATGCGATGAAGATCAAGGTATAACAAGTCTGGCAAAACTCACATGGAAACCTCATGTCAATCGTGGATCTGTGCTGCAGGCAGCTGCGGCAAAGCCACAGCCGGTGATTGAGTCCGACCTGCAGGCACTAGATGGCACTAGATGGCACTAGATGGCACTAGATGGCACTAGATGGCACTACGGGGCGATTGTAATCTTTGGCAACTTGGGATTGGTTAACAGATACAACATGCAAATACTGCATTATTCTTACTGTAGCTCTATTTTCACTTCTAAGACATGCTAAGGCTTCAGATTTCTGATCTTTCTGATCACGAAATACCTGCTTTGATGAAGTCATTGAATGTCATTGACATGATCAACTCATAGGTCATACCACTGGATGGCGCCGCCAAGCGCTTGTTGCCCTTGGACTTTCCAGCAAGGGCCCCAGTCGGGCGATGGGAGTTGAGTGCCTGGAAACTGAGGGAATGGATGCAGAATTGAATACTTAATTGATGGGGTCAAATGTAAGTCCAAACTTCAAACGCAAGAACATTTGCTTCTCGCTTCGTTGAAAAGGATGTTCAATGTTGACGAAAGGGATGTTTTGCCCTTCCAGCATCTTCCAGCCCTACTTTGGCTTTTGGAAACTCTAACCTTTATCTTTATATAGGGTTTGTTTGATTGACTTACTGATCTTGTTCTGCCTTTCAAGCCAGGCCGTCACTGAATCACTTCGCATGGGCGGTTTGGAAGTCATGGAGGTTGCGGGGAACTCCTGGAGCGGAGCTGGGTGAAGGGTGCGAACCACACACCGGCACCCAAAAGATCTCTGATAGATTGGTGATGGTTTTGTGTTTTTTTTGGGGCAGCAGATTTCAAGAATGGATTAGTTTCTATATAGTTTTTTTTTTTCCAGTTGTCATTCCCGTCTGATCACTTCTGATCTCTGATCACTTCTGATCTCTTTCAATGTTTGTCCTGCTCGCATGTCCAGGATGCTGCTGGTCTTCAAATTGATGCTGACTTGAATCCAAATGTGGTGGATCCGGACGTCTTCGTCAGAGGTGGGCCTAGGGCCTTTGGGGAGGTGTGAATTGTGAACATGAAGTCAACCATTGCACTTGAAATCAATTGATCACAATTGCATTCTGTGTGGAAGTACACTGAAAATGGATGGACATGGACATTTGGACCAGCGTTACATAGTTTTATATACCCTGAATGAATTGTCCTGTTTCTCCAACGAATTTTGTTTTGGAAGCACCGCTGGTGAGTTAGCTGTCGTCGATCCAAGCACAGGTCTTTTGGTGACCTTCCCCGACAACCTTTGGATCGACAACTTCTTGAGGCAGCTGACCGTAGAGTGAGAAGCTCCCAGTGCAAGTTGGGGTGACCCTTTTTCCAAAGGCTCCACCTGGAGCCTCTGGGGTTTGTGAAGATTCCTTTACCACGACTACCATGACTCTGCATGTTGTCATGGTGAGTTCAGGGCACTTCCATCGACTGCAGTCACTGCAGCTGGAGTGTTTGGACCTTGGATCAGACGAGACCAATGTGCCAATGTTCGGAACTGGAGATTCGAGTTCATTGGAGTGTCACAGGTCGAAAGATGTTTCGCTACTGCGCTCTGTGTTTGGTGTTGATTTTGTGCGGAGATATGCGGAGATATCAGCTTTGACTTGCTTAACTTGTTTGTGGGAAGCAGCGGATTCCATTGCAGCCACATCTAGTGTGGCTGACAGAGACATACAAAGGAGGGGTATTTTTTTTGGCATTTTCTTTTTGCTTTTTTTTTGGTCTTGGCTCCTGTTGGCTTCGTGGCTTCTGTGGCTTCTACGGTCCTGGCTCCTGGTGGCTCCTGGTGGCTCCTGGTGGCTCCGGTGGCTCCTGCTGGCTTCTGGGGCTTCTGCGGCTTCTGTGGCTTCCATTGGCTTCCATTGGCGTCTATGGCTTCTATGCCTCCTGGCTCCTATGGCTCATCTATCATCTATCGATCAATCTATCAGTGAAGCATGTTCACCAGGTGCATGTTGTGCATTAGAAACACATC